AAAAATGTTTAATGACCTTTTCGGAGGCCACTTTTTTGAAGCCACTGTTTAATGACCCAATTTAAGATGGGGAAAACTTTGCAGTAAAGAAAAGAGTAAACGGGAAAAAAGACACGGGTACTGATAATATCTGTTTGTGTTTTCCCTTAAGGATCTTTTTTTTTCGCGGGCCCCCAAGAATGCTCACTAGAATTTTTTGTGGGGGAAGAAAACTACCTACTGCCTCTTTCCCCCCTCAACCACCCTTCTTTTGGTAAATTTATATTTTTTTTCTTGGGGCATTATTGTGCTGCTGTTCCCATGGGTTGCTCCCGACTTGACCCTCACGTTTAACTCATCCCCAAAGGAGTTTTAAAAACATTTTTGTTTAAAACGGTTTAAGATCCACAAAAAAGTAAAAGGGAAACGCACCCGCCCAAAATCAAAATAAAAATCTTATTACTATTAGGGGCCAAATACAAATAGCGGGACCAACTATTCGGCCGAAAAACAAATTTTTAATCTCATCATCATTTTCCCTTCCCGGGCTGGCGGGGGCGATTATGCCTCGCCACAACCCTGCGTCTCCTGCACATGTTTCATTTTAGTGGGGCGACCCCCTCCATGCCATGCAACAAGACTGTCAAGAATCTTCTCTCGTTGTCTTCCCCCTATCCCCCCTTCCACCGATTTCCGTGGTCAAACCCCATTTCCTTTTTCCCCCCTTTCCCCCACGTGGGTGAAAAAAATGACTGTCTCCCCTTTTGATGTTTTTTATTTGTTTCTTCGGGTTTCCCCCCTCTTTTTAAAAACCTCCTTTGCCCCGGCCGTTTTGTTCTATATAATTTTAAAAGAAACCCTTTAAATTCTCGTTAGCAAAAATCTTCAAATTTATTTGGAAAAAAAGCCCCTAATGAAAGGGAAACCCCTATTCTTTTTTGGCCCACCGCAACTATTTGCCGAAAAAGAATATTTTTTTAGGTCCACTATTCGGCTCCCCAACGAATACAAACAAATATTTTGGGAAGCCCTAGTTACTATACCCAAAAATTTATCTCTTTCCTCCCTTGACAATGGCCCTTTTACGTGGGAAAAAAGTGTACTTCAGGGACTGGCCGACCAGACACCTCTAAAAAGATGTTGCCATTAGCAAGGACCATTATACACCTGGCCCAGCAACTGTAGAATATAGATAGAAAATAGTGCCATAGATTACAGAAATTTACATGGAGAGTTCTTTATTAGGGAAAGCTAAAAGATACATTGGAGACTGAATTATAAAGACAGCGAAAACAGCCATCAGTTATCTTGACTCTAATGGTGCAGCTTGGTTGTTGATTTTGTTTTTTCTTTGCTCTTCTTTCCATCATAATTCACCAGATGCCAAAAAAATTGCTTATTTTATTAAAAAAAGAAATTGGGTTAAAATTTCACAAAAAAACCAAAAAATCAAAAATTAATTAAGCAAAAAGTAATGCAATTTCACTTAGTGAAACCTCACTTCAACAGGTGAAATAAACATCATTTTTTGGGAGGCAAAAGAATAGACCTCCTGGCCCCCTAACAAGCATGTTGTAAAAGCTGACTGATTAGGGGCATATCCTTCAAAGTTGAAGTGCATTGGCCTGAGAGGCGAGGACACACACCAGAATTTTTCTGCTGGAGTTTACAGTTGGTGAACACGAATAAGGAGAATCCATGAGCACAAGAAATAGAGGAAGGCCTAAAAACACAGAGAAGATAACTGGAGATGGAATGAATAATATTGGAAAGACATGACGGGAGATGAAGATAGGATGTAATGACCTGAGTTGGTTGAGGGCCTTTGCTCCAGTGAGAGATTAAATGCATAAGCATGAAGGAATACTGTTTTTAAAAAATATGATTATTTGTGTACGAATTAATTATGTGAGTATTACTTCCGATACTTCTAGTTGATTGGTAAAGTAGCTGACCCAGCAGATGTGTCCAGCTGTGTGTGGAAGAATCTGGATGATGTCCCAGAGCCACTGGACTGGCTAACTTGGCAGGTGATTCAGCACAAACCATCCAAGGAGAGGCAACATCCAAAGTTTCGTAAGTATTCTTCTCTGCTTGTTGCAGTCATTCCTGGATAGTGTTTTCTTCTTTATATGCCTGGTCTTGAATAGACATGGGGATCGTGGCATTCCACTTCTTCCTGTCATTTAATAATTGGATAAAGTTGCTGTTGCTGAAATTATTTCTTGTTGTCCAGTAGTTTTATACAACCATTGTTGTCCAGTAGTTTTATACAACCATTGTTGTCCAGTAGTTTTATACAACCATTGTTATCCAGTAGTTTTATACAACCATTGTTGTCCAGTAGTTTTATACAACCATTGTTGTCCAGTAGTTTTATACAACCATTGTTGTCCAGTAGTTTTATACAACCATTGTTGTCCAGTAGTTTTATACAACCATTGTTGTCGAGTAGTTTTATACAACCATAGTTGTACAGTAGTTTTATACAACCATAGTTGTACAGTAGTTTTATACAACCATAGTTGTACAGTAGTTTTATACAACCATTGTTGTCCAGTAGTTTTATACAACCATTGTTGTACAGTAGTTTTATACAACCATTGTTGTACAGTAGTTTTATACAACCATTGTTGTACAGTAGTTTTATACAACCATTGTTGTCCAGTAGTTTTATACAACCATTGTTGTACAGTAGTTTTATACAACCATTGTTGTACAGTAGTTTTATACAACTATTGTTGTCCAGTAGTTTTATACAACCATTGTTGTCCAGTAGATTTATACAACCATTGTTGTCCAGTAGTTTTATACAACCATTGTTGTCCAGTAGTTTTATACAACCATTGTTGTACAGATGTTTTATACAACCATTGTTGTACAGTAGTTTTATACAACCATTGTTGTACAGTAGTTTTATACAACCATTGTTGTCCAGTAGTTTTATACAACCATTGTTGTCCAGTAGTTTTATACAACCATTGTTGTCCAGTAGTTTTATACAACCATTGTTGTACAGATGTTTTCACCTGATGTCTGAATGTGTGGGTGGTTGTTAGATGCTGCTATTTGTAAAAAAAACTTAGTAAGGGAATCGACAGATCATTCTCATTGCATATGTAACCCATCAGCCATGGTGTTCATTTACCCTTCTCAGTCTATTCCACAGCGTGTTTGACTGACAAAACCAGTTCTGCATTGGTTTATTATTCTTCTTTGGCTTCCTTCATCATGCTTTTGTCTGGCCTCACCCCTTTTCACTTGCTGTTCTTGCAGTCTGGTCACGATTGCAGATTCACAGTCCTTACATGATTCTTGCAAACATCTTACTTCTCATAGAGCATTCAGTGTAGAGCCTTGTCCATTGCTTCTCCACCTCTATATTAGCCCTGTCTTCAAGCCTATCAGCTTGTTCATTTCCTTTTACACCTGCATGCCCAGGAACAAAATTGAAACTGTCATAGCCAAACGTGACATTTATAAAATGCCAGTTTACATTTATTAAAAGTAAAGAAAATGACATGCTATGAAGTATTTTTTTAGAGTAGGAATAAAGAACCTTTTCGATGCCTTGAGGTGCAGAGGGCATATTTTCATAGACTAAAATGACAGTTGATAGGCAACATCATTAACAAGGAAGTGTATTTTGTTTCATTATAAAACTGAAATAATTTTTCATCTGCAGCCGCTCTGGACTATGAAAGCATCCTGTGTCTGCCTACAAGAAGTCAGCCAGATGGCCTACCTCCACTGATTGTATTTCCTCATGGTGAGTCTGTTGGCTGGGTCCAATCAACTGAAATAGAAAACTAGATAAATCAGGAAATAGGTTGTGCTGATATGTGTAGGAAAGTAATTGAAATCTTTAGGTTTTCAGATTTGTAGAATCCATAGTTGGGTTCCAAAAAAAGGGGGTGGGGGTGGGGAAGGGGGGTCCCACTGTTCCTTAACAAATGTGTTGTAAAAAGTGAGTAATTAAGGGTTTTCCTTAAAATTGGATGTGTTGACCTGATAGGTGCAGATATCACAGCTGAGCTGTAAACTACAAAACAATATGCCAGCCTTTTAAGAGTGAATGAAAAAGATTCATAGACAAGTCCTGAAATCTGTTCATACTTACATCTGTAGATAAGTAGTTGACATTTGAATATGTAATCAAATCTGTACATTTTGTTTTCACTAGGTAAGGTAAGTAAGGAAATTTTGTTGGTATTGAAAGCTGTAAATTTGTAATGAAATCTGTTGGTGATTCTAGAGAATCCAGTTGGATGTAGCCGTGTATACAGACAACAAATCATATCTTTGTGTGCTTTTTTTTCCCCAGGTGGCCCCAATGTATCCTTTGACACAGCCTTCAATTACATCACTGCATTCTTTACCAGATGTGGCTACGCTGTTCTCATGGGTAAGTCTTGTTCTGCTTGTCATAATCATGTAGCAGGTCCTTTGGAGAATGTTACTCCTGTCACAGACCACTACTTCTCTCACAAACCACTGGAAACATTCTTAATTCTTTGCCAGCTCCCTTGCCTCATGTATTTTCAGGCCACAGATGATTTCATTGAAATGTTTCCACCTTCAAACATGTTAACCCCTGCTTCTTCGTATCGAAACCATGCCTGGCATTGTTATTTCTAAACCACTTCAGTGTTTAATATTGTTGAAAGATTATAGTTTTTGTAGCTATTTATAAGCCATTTTCTTCAGATCTTGTAGAATGTCATTTTTTTTTTTAATTCACATTTTTCTGGGAAGTTGTCTGTGGCTTTTTAAGTTTCAGTTAAACATTTTTTTTAAAATTGAAAATTAAATTTTTTAGTCTTTATATCAGTCATTCCAATAATAATAATGATAACATTCTTACTAGATACTGTCTTTTCAAATGTGTTGTCAGAAAGCCTCCATGGGATCTACCAAATGCCAGTAAGCTGTTGCCAGAGGTATCATGAGCCTAAGGATTTAAAGGCATATGGCTGCAAACTGCATGTTAGGATTCTAATTTCTGCTCTCTACAGAAAAAACTCTCTATCCCTTAATGTGATCGAACCTGGTTCTTTCACGTGAAAACCAAGCACTCTAACCACCTTAGCAGTCATTCCTCTTTATATTTGGTAAGATTGGTAATTTCTGTGTTTCAAGTTTGAACAACAGACCAACATCAAGGCACACAGTTAGTAACCCATAAGTGCTCTGTTCTAACTCAAGTCTGAGTCTGATTAGCTCAGCACTGTGCACAGGCTCTGTAGCACCGACGGATTGTGAAATACTTTGGGTAGATTTTTAGCTCCAAATTTGTATTTATGTCAGTTTAAGTTTGTGAACACTAACACGAGATGCTTGTCCATGTCCCTCAGTTAACTACAGGGGATCAACAGGTTTTGGACAGAGCAGTGTTCTCTCCCTGACTGGAACTATCGGCACCCAGGATGTCGCTGATGTGGAGGTAGTTTTACTCTACTTTTCTTGTATGTTGTTTGTTTGTTTGTTTGCGTTCACTAGCTGTAAACCCCGGTGGAAAGTCCTGGTTGTTTGTCCATTCCTAGACTCTGGCTTGTTCAAGGATCTCAGTTTGCATGTGCACCCATTTCACAGCTCTGGTCTAATTGTATGCAGACTGTTGGTGCTTTGCTTCTCAGCACATGCACTCCGACTTCAAAGGGATCCCCTAAATAGTCAACTCATATGACATGCTTGTTAGCGAGGCTGTGGGTCTGTTCTTGTTTTCCCCCACTAGGGGATCCCAGAACCCACACGGGTGGTTGGGGAAGTGGGCCATAATGCAAAATTGCATTGTTTTCCTTGATTCTTCCGTGAGATGTGTTTTTTTACTTTTCTGAAGGTGCAACACATAATGAAGGAGTGTTTCAAAGGTTTTGTTTTAAGTATTAATATGTAAAGTGTTTCAGGATTCTGTTGTTTGCTGTTTTTCTTTTTTTTTTTTAATTGCATGATGCAGTTCGCTGAATAAGTTGTAATTTTTTTTTTTTACACATATTTATATAAAAAGTATTATATTTACCTTTATACATATGTCAAATTTTAGTCCGATGAGTCTTTTGCTAAGTCTGACGTTAGTGATTTGTCAAATCTTGTCCAACAGATAACACCCAGGGTTGAACAGGTGACTTCCTGAATTATTTTTGATTTTGATTTTGGCTACGTGTAATGGGAAAATCTGGTTGTTGTGTTCCTTTCTGTGGGGAATTTGTCCTCTCGTCTCTTGAAATACCTCAGTGCCAGGCACAAGAGGCACATAAGATACTAAGAGATCTTAGCAGCCAATATAGGGCTGGTACTATTAGCTATGGAATGCTGATATTTACGATGGGAAGTGTGGCAGGTGTCTGAGTACCCGTGGGCATGTCCGTTATTCCATAAGGATAACCTAGTTGATAAGTCCTAGCCAAAGAGACAGTAGAATTTTTGATAACTCCTAGCCAAAGAGACAGTAGAATCTTCGATAACTCCTAGCCAAAGAGACAGTAGAATCTTCGATAACTCCTAGCCAAAGAGACAGTAGAACCTTTGATAACTCCTAGCCAAAGAGATGGTAGAATCTTCGATAACTCCTAGCCAAAGAGACAGTAGAACCTTTGATAACTCCTAGCCAAAGAGACGGTAGAATCTTCGATAACTCCTAGCCAAAGAGACAGTAGAATCTTTGATAACTCCTAGCCAAAGAGTCAGTAGAACCTTTGATAACTTCTAGTCAAAGAGACAGTAGAATCTTCGATAACTCCTAGCCAAAGAGACAGTAGAATCTTCGATAACTCCTAGCCAAAGAGACAGTAGAATCTTCGATAACTCCTAGCCAAAGAGACAGTAGAACCTTTGATAACTCCTAGCCAAAGAGATGGTAGAATCTTCGATAACTCCTAGCCAAAGAGACAGTAGAATCTTTGATAACTCCTAGCCAAAGAGTCAGTAGAACCTTTGATAACTCCTAGTCAAAGAGATGGTAGAATCTACGATAACTCCTAGCCAAAGAGACAGTAGAATCTTCGATAACTCCCAGCCAAAGAGACAGTAGAATCTTCGATAACTCCTAGCCAAAGAGACAGTAGAACCTTTGATAACTCCCAGCCAAAGAGACAGTAGAATCTTCGATAACTCCTAGCCAAAGAGACAGTAGAACCTTTGATAACTCCTAGCCAAAGAGATGGTAGAATCTTTGATAACTCCTAGACAAAGAGACAGTAGAATCTTCTATGATTCCTAGCCAAAGAGTTGGTAGAACCTTTTTCTGCTTTCACCCTCAGATGGGTGGTCGGTAAATTGTATTGTGGTATACCACTAGGCTGTAATATCTGCAACACATCAAGTTTCAGCAAACTCTTAATTAGGACATTCTTTGTTGAGGGGAGAAGTAGGGTCTCGGACACACACAAGGAGACTAGAATAGTGTGTTGACAAATGTGGGATAGTAGATTGTGCCAGATGAAGAAGTTACTGAAATGTCACTGATGCTGGTGACACTTGTCTTTCCCAGAGTGCCATGGTAGAAGTTCTGACTAAAGATGTTGCTGATGGCAACCGCTTACTGGCATTTGGTGGATCCCATGGAGGCTTTCTGACAACACATTTGATTGGACAGTATCCCGTAAGAATATCATCATCATCATCATTAGTTTATTGTTGTTGTTCAGAGACTTATCTTGATCTGTGATCTGTCATAATGTTAGTTGGAAATCGTTTAGGGGACATTCAAGAATCAACCCCAGTATTTTTGGCTCTTTGTGATGTCACTATGCAGTTTTACTTTAAATAGTTTGCCATTGCTTTTTGAATGGTCAGCTCTTCTTACCAGTCAAAATTAACATGGGGCAGTCTGCTGCCAGATTGACAACGGCTGGGATTGAACCCAGCACCCCGGAATTCTGAAATGCAGAATCTAACGATCTATCATAAGCAGTTATTATTTTATCTTGTTCTATCCTTGTCACTGAGAAATTGAGCACTGCTCTTCTGATCTGGCAGCTTCTGCAGCATGGTGTTACCTTTCTTTGCAGTAAACAAGGCAGGATTAGAGAGAAATTATTCTTCATGGGCATCATGTGGTCTCTACAATACTGCCCAGACTTTATACTAAGAGGGACTTTGTCCCTGACTGTAATTCCCATCACCATACCTCCATAAAGCACAGTATAACGGGACTACGGAAAGATCCCAGTAACATTTTGTTTGTTACTTTAGCTTGATCTGATATCTCTTCTAGCTGCTTGTTACTTCGGCTTGATGTGTTATTTATCCTAGCAGCTTGTTACTTTAGCTTGATTTGTTACTTATCTTAGCTGCTTGTTACTTTGGCTACATATGATGCTTATCTTGCAGCGTGTTACTTTGGCTTCATGTGTTATTTGTCCTAGCAGCTTGTTACTTTAGCTTGATCTGTTATCTGTGGTAGCTTTGTCACTTTGACTTGATCTGCTATCTGTCCTAGCTGCTTTGTACTCTAACAGACTTCTGCTACTTTACTTACTAGTCAGCATAACTTGACCTATCCTAGGCAGATACAAATTTTACTTGGTCTACACCAAAACAAATGAAGTAACATTTAGGATAATATGGATTAAAATCAGTGCCAATCATGGACAATGAACAAATCATATATGCAAAAAATAACTACGTGTGAAATGCGAAGTCTCCGAAGAGTCACCAACAATACACGAAGAGACAGAGTCACAAACGTCAGCATTAGAGACAAAGTTGGAACAAGAGCATGCATGGCACATATCGAAAAACAGAGAATGAAGTGGTTTGGTCATTTAGTAAGAATGCAACCGGATAAGATTGCCTATAAGGCCTTTTACAATAGAACATGGGGAAGAAAGGCCAGAGGAAGATCCAGGAAAAAATGGATAGATGGAGTAGCTGAATACGACCAGAAGATCCAGAAAACTGTCACTCAAATCACTCGAGAGGCACAGAACAAATATTTTAAACCACGACACTGGGCTGCAACCCGGTAAAAGTGAAGAAGACAATAGATAGATAGATGGATTAAAATAGTATTGTCTCTACTTATATGGATCTGAGAGTTGGACTCTAACTGCTGAAATGGAAAGGAGGACTCAGACCTTCGAATAGAAATACTATAGATGCATTTTACAAATTAGCCATTAGGAACATAAAACTGACAAGATTTCTAAAAAAATAAAATAAACAAATTGGCCAGTCATCAGGAGCCTCTTTTGGCAGTGGTGAAATGTCACAAACTGGTTTGGTTTGGGCAAGTGGTCAGACATGATTTGATTGCAAAGACTTCAGGGAACATTGGGTGATAGTCATGAAAAGAAAAGGGGCTGGGGGAGGGGACAGGGGAGGGGGAGGGAGGCAAAGAAGAACCTGGAATGACAACATCAAGAAGTGGACAGGACTAAATTATTATACTCTTGTTCGGCATGTGGAAGATGTAGAAAGATGATGAGTTTTGTGTGCTAAAGCTTCCATTGATACACATCCATGACCCTAACAGGTCAAGGGTTATGTTATAATTATAGAACCTGGCAAGGACCAGGTACAAGTCCCAACAGAATGCAGTAGACCCTTTTGTGTTTGCCTCCTAGCTAGAAAAGTCTGACTGCTGTGGAGGCAGAAGTTCAGACCTTGAGTTTTAAAGAATTCTCTATAGAGGTGCACTGTCATCTACACACATGTATGTGTCATTCAACTCATGAGAAGTTTGTGGGCTTTTATGCTCAGATTGAAGGAAGAATTGTGAAGCAACATTCTTGTGCTTTTGCCTTGCCTACAAGGAGTCTGACTGTGGTGGTTTTGGAAGTTACCAAATAACATGGATGTAGACACTGACATTAACTCTTTGAGTCCCAGGGGTTTTAGCATCAGAGGCCCAAGGGGTAGTCAAAAGAGATGTAAAATTGGCACATCTTGCGTTCATTAAGCCTCTAGGCGGGAACCTATAAACGAATGATGCGTTCCTTGGGACTCAAAGAGTTAAGTAGGCATATTTCCTCAGTGACTAAATTAGTATGCTCTCGAAGATGGAGATGGGTCAGGGCTAAAGACTCGTTGGTTTCTCTGAGGTGGTCACAGCTCACAAAGATCATTTACGTTTTCGTGCCAGGACATACAGGTGTACAGGGAAATAAACATGATGAAAGGCTTGCAAGTAAGGCTACTGTGTGGGACAGGCGAGCCATCGACCAGTCTGACATACTGAATGCTCTGTGAGATGTTAGATGTTTGTGAGAAGCAAGTAAGGACTGTGAATTCATCCCCAACCAAGGATACATTGCAATACCAGCAAATTAAAATGGGGTATGACTAGCCACACCCACCAAGTGCCGAATGGTCTATAAAATATAGGTCTAGAACTTAACTTTTACTTTTTATGACGAGACAAGAACACGCATATAAACCAACACAAAAATGTGTCGTCAGGCACTAACTACTGGATGGTTTAACTGAGGAAGGTTTGGTATGCAGTGAGAAGGATCTGTTAACTAACTAATTAAGGAACTGACACATGACTGCTGGGCTGGCAGACAACCCTAGTCACTGCTCTACCACCGCTCAGGGAGCTTGCTTTTGTTTGGTGTAATTCCTGTGGAAACTGATTTTTGCTTGCAACTCCTTTTTCTTTTTTTCAGGATACTTTTAAAGCTGCAGCTACTAGAAACCCAGTGATCAACCTTGTTTGTAAGTTTCAATTATCTTTCTTGAGCCTTGTTTGTGTTGACTTATTGACCCTTGTTTGTGTTAACTGTATTGAGCCACATCTGAAAAGGAAATTCACAGTACAAGAGAGAGACGGTGGAACTATAATGAGGGTCCTGGGGTACAAGGGAAAGACAAAGGAATTATATCAGTGATTCATGGTACGAGAGACGGAGAGACAGAGCAAATGTGTTTGCATACATGAATGAGTGTGTGTATGTATGTATTTATGTATGAATATATGTAGGTGCACAGTTAGGTCTGTATGTGTATATATGTATGTGTATATATGTATGTATATCTGTGCATAAACCACCTGTGCTTTTTTGTAATCAAATTATGAATATTGTTAATCTAAACATTGCCTGCTTCACAGATTAAAATACATTTGTGTGAAAGTTGAGTGTTTGGAAGGGCCTAATGTAAGATGGGTCTGAAAGCCCAGTTTGTGACCCTGTGAAACTGAAGTTTGTTCATCATTCATCTGTTCTTTCTTACGTAACCTGGAGAAGGGATGATTATTTTGTCTCACAGCATTATTTCACCTTCCTGTAACCTGGAGAAGAGATCGATTGTTTTTTGTTTTGTAGCACAATTTAATTTTTCTGTAACCAATTGTATAAAGATACTTGTGTGTACACTTTGCAGCCATATTTAGTGTTGGAGACAGCCCTGATACGTAAGATTTTCTTTTCTTTTTTTCTTATTGACTTAATCTCTTCTGCCTTATATCCATCAGTGTAGCTTAACTAGTTTGATTGCGTGCATTTTACTTTCTGATAATAACCTTATTGTATTATGTCTTTTAAAATGTGGAAAAACATGCCTACTTTTAATATAGTGATCCACTTTGCAGCCAAATTTAGCGTTGGAGACATCCCTGATGCGTAAGATTGTTTCTTTCTTTTTTTTTTCCCATTGACCTATTATCTTCTGCCTTGTATCCATCAGTGTAGTATAACTTGTTTGGATTTTGTGCATTTTATTTTCTGATGAAAATTTATTGCATTATGTCTTTTAACATGCGGAAAAACCTGCCTACTTCTAATACAGGGATTCACTGTGCAAACATACCAACTAATTTCTCAGGCCATATAAGGCACACATTCCAGATGTTCACTACCCCTGCTTTATAGGCACTGCAAAGAGATAACTCTGTTGGGGCTAAGGGCAATGAGAGAGGAAGATTTTAGGTGTGGTGCCAGTGGTTCTCAAACTATCTTCTTGACTGCATGTTTGAAATGGAAATATGCTTTTTGGTGCACACAATTTTTTACTATCATAAGTATATTTTAAAGACTAATCACCAGCATCTAGAAATGCTTTTTTGTGTGTCAGGGACACAAATATTGTATTGTCTTTGCACATTTATACTTACTATTATGCTACACTGCTTGGAAACTACTCACTTGTTATTTGGTTTGTTTAACTTTATCTTGAGTTTTCAGCCTTTGGCTGATAATCATCAATTGTATCATTAAAGTAAGTCTTTCTGTTAGCAAATCTTCCAGGATGAGTTGCAGCAGAATTTTTTCCTATAAGTACCCAAAAAATCTAGGTAGTCGCTGTGGCGGAGCAGCTAGACACCTGCCGCGGATCAGAAGGTTGTGGGTTTGCTCCCTGGCGGAGCCAGACTTTTTACAAAAATTACCTTGGCTCCCAGGTCGACCCAGCCTTGAATGGGTACTGGGTGCAGTCCCGGGAAGTAGAGGTGGCTGGCGTGATGCTGACCATATCACCCATCTTGTCCCGATTGGTCTATAAAATATAGGTCTAGCCCTGTATACCTTTATACACCTAAAGGGGTGGAAAAGGGACCTTTACTTTTTACTTACTCAAAAAAACTATTAAATTGAGAGTTAAATACTTCTTGTGTATTTTCCTTTTTTGCTATTTCAGCCATGTTTTCAACAACGGACATTCACGACTGGTAAGTGGCCACAGCTCACTGTAGACCTCGCTAGATTTTTTTTTTTTTTGTTAGACAAGATTTGTACAGTTAAAGACTTATTTTATTGACATACTTCATGTTTCTTCTGGTTTGCATATTGTTAACTGCTTACTGATTCATCTTTCGGTATTGGCTGTGATATTCAGATACTGCAAATCTTATTGTTTTTTTTTTAAGAATGTGTAATCTTTTTCTAACTTCCATATCATTATTAACTGCATATTTACTCATGAGTCGCTTCACCTGCAGTAATATCTATAAACTGCATGTTAATGATATCACTATTTAGTTAATTTGTTTTTGAGAATGCTTATCTTTATTCAATCTTTTCTATTAATAGCTGCATGTTTATCAGTGCATATTAGTTTGATGTATGATAACTAAGCCAATCTTATGAATCATATTGGTTAATTTAATATGTCAGTTCCATTTGTAAAAAAAAAAAAACATATTTAGTCTTCTTAAGGTAGTTTTTTTAACACTGAAAGGGCAGAAAGAGTTAAATTAAATTGTGCCCAGCATGATTGTATTAATATTACCACATTATAGAATTGACTTCCCTCAAAGTCGGAGTACATCCGCCCGAGAGGCAGGGAACAAGAAATGAACGCAAATGAAACAGCAAAACAGTTGTACACGCAAAACTTAGGTACAAACTACAAAGTCAAAAGTCTAAATGGACAAACAGGTCTTTTTGCTGAAATTCACAGCCGGTGAACGCAAAGAAGAAAGAGGGGATAGAATTGCCACTTTCCAGAAATATCTTCCTGATATTATTATGGTGTGTAGACCTTGAATTTAAGTGTGATTCTAGCAAGGAGGGACAAATACAACTTTTGTGTTAGATAAACAGTTAGTGGCTACACCTTATTACATTTGCTGAGTACCAGAGGACAGTTAGCAATTGGTAGAGAGTCTTTGGTTGAGATTCCAATATGACTGCAGACAGGTCGCCAGGTGGCCAATGACTGCCCTCTTCCTGCACTAGCAGAAATCCACAAAGAGTCCTTCACTGTCCCATTTGATAACTAGTAAAAAATGTGTTATTCCCAGCCAAATCTCGACACTTGCACACTCAAAGTAAAAATGCAAAAGGCAGCTGTCAGGTGTGCCAACAGTAATAGTCCCACACCAGAACTACAGCTTACTTTTGGAACAAATGGTCGATCAGAAAAGCTGGCATTGCACCCGGCTAAAGTATACGTCATTCTAAACGTAATCGGCGACCTGCCATTTTAGTGCAGTCAGCAACATGCAACGAACACGACAGAAAACAAAAGCATCACAAAAACTTGTGATGATTTCTGTAACTCTTCCTTGTATCTTGCATTTGCTCACCACATTTCCTCTCTCTCTCCTACCTTGTATCTGTTGTTTTCTTTGTCTCAAGAAAGGGAAAGAAACTAGTAATTCTGCTTCATTATACTGGGACTTATAATTAATTAGATGCCATTTCCGCACTAAAGATTCGCAGCAGTAGATCTTCTAAATTCTCTCTCTGACTCTCTCTCTCTCTCTCTCTCTCTCTCTCTCTCTCTCTCTCTCTCTCTCTCTCTCTCTCTCTCCCTCTCACCCTCTCTCTCTCTCTCTCTCCCTCTCTCTCTCCCTCCTCTCCTCTCCCTATCCCTCTCCTCTTTCCCTCCCTCCCTTTTTCCCTCTTACTCTGATTGTATGCTGTCTCCAAAACTGATGTTGTCCTCCCATTTGTATCACAATCTCTCACTTGCCTGCCTTCAACTGTTCTATCCAGGATAGTTTCTTTTTCTTATGGAACTCTAAATAAATTATATTGTTTTAAAACCAAGTAACGAATTCGTAATTTTTATGTCAGTTTTAACATGAACCAGTGAAAGTTGGAGAGCCACATTCAAAGATGAATGCCTAAGGAAATTGATGGATATGAAATGGGATGAATGCCAGAAAGGTGAGGAAGTCAGAGAAACTTCTGGACAACTGCTTGTGTCAACGGTTGTAAGTCAAAGAAGCTAGCAAAAGATTGGTTACATCATGAAGATAAATGGACAGAAAATCGCCAGACAGGCACTGAGATGGGGAAAAGAATGGACTGAGGAAATAAAGATATCCAAGATACTGAGATATGCCAGAAGCACTGGATTGGATTCCATCCATTGTATTAAGAAAATAGTGCAGGATAGAACAGAATGAAGACCCAGGCTGCAAGCTCTATGTGGCTGATAACGAAATAACCGAAGGAAGACGGTGGTAGATTTTATTAGTGTTGTGTCTTTTAATGTTGACTTTTATCATTTCTGGGTTTTTAATTTATTTCAACAACTTTTTTTCATTCCGCATATTCTTTTATGTTCTGTATTATGTGAAGACCAAAAAACTGCATGCTTCTAGAAGATGACATTTAACGGTACTTTTCTTTGCTGAATAAACACATGTTAATTCTACTGTTGCCTCCGTAGGGTGTTTGCTCAGTCTGGGCTGGAGTTTGAGTACAGGTCTCTGGCTGATGATAAGTGCCTCAATGATCTGTGGAGGCGTTCACCATTGTCCTATGTTGATCAGGTAGGCAGGGCGGTGGTTTATTTATGTGGATCAAGTAGGCAGGGTGGTGGGTTATATATGTGGATCAGGTAGGCGGGGCAGTGGATTATTTATGCGGATCAGGTAGACAGGGAAGTTGGTTATTTATGTTGATCAGGTAGGTAGGGGCAGTGGGTTATTTATGTGGATCAGGTAGGCAGGGGCAGTGGGTTATTTATGTGGATCAGGTAGGTAAAGCGGTGGGTTATTTATGTGGATCAAGTAGGCAGGGCAGTGGGTTATTTATGTGGATCAGGTAGGTAGGGCGGTGGGTTATTTATGTGGATCAGGTAGGTAGGGCGGTGGGTTATTTATGTGGATCAGGTAGGCAGGGCAGTTGGTTATTTATGTGGATCATGTAGGTAGGGCAGTTGGTTATTTATGTGGATGAGGTAGGCAGGCAGAGGGTTATTTATGTGGATCAAGTAGGCAAGGCAGTGGGTTATTTATGTGGATCAGGTAGGCAGGGCAGGGCAGTTGGTTATTTATGTGGATCAGGTAGGTAGGGCGGTGGGTTATTTATGTGGATCAGGTAGGCAGGGCGGTGGGTTATTTATGTGGATCAGGTAGGCAGGGCGGTGGGTTATTTATGTGGATCAGGTAGGTAGGGCGGTAGGTTATTTATGTGGATCAGGTATGCAGGGTGGTTGGTTATTTATGTGGATCAGGTAGGCAGGGCCGTGGGTTATTTATGTGGATCAGGTAGGCAGGGCAGTGGGTTATTTATGTGGATCAGGTAAGCAGGGCGGTGGGTTATTTATGTGGATTAGGTGTGGATGAGGTAGGCAGGGCCGTGGGTTATTTATGTGGATCAGGTATGCAGGGTGGTTGGTTATTTATGTGGATCAGGTAGGCAGGGCAGTTGGTTATTTATGTGGATCAGGTAGGTAGGGCAGTTGGTTATTTATGTGGATCAGGTAGGTAGGGCCGTGGGTTATTTATGTGGATCAGGTAGGTAGGGCAGTTGGTTATTTATGTGGATCAGGTAGGTAGGGCAGTTGGTTATTTATGTGGATGAGGTAGGCAGGCAGTGGGTTATTTATGTGGATCAAGTAGGCAAGGCAGTGGGTTATTTATGTGGATCAGGTAGGCAGGGCAGTTGGTTATTTATGTGGATCAGGTAGGCAGGGCGGTGGGTTATTTATGTGGATCAGGTAGGTATGGCGGTGGGTTATTTATGTGGATCAGGTAGGCAGGGCCGTGGGTTATTTATGTGGATCAGGTATGCAGGGTGGTTGGTTATTTATGTGGATCAGGTAGGCAGGGCCGTGGGTTATTTATGTGGATCAGGTAAGCAGGGCGGTGGGTTATTTATGTTAATCAGGTAAGCAGGGCGGTGGGTTATTTATGTGGATTAGGTAGGCAGGGCGGTGGGTTATTTATGTGGATAAGGTAGGCAGGGCAGTAGGTTATTTATGTGGATAAGGTAGGCAGGGCAGTGGGTTATTTATATGGATAATGTAGGCAAGGCAGTGGGTTATTTATGTGGATAAGGTAGGCAGGGCGGTGGGTTATTTATGTGGATAAGGTAGGCAGGGCGGTCGGTTATTTATGTGAATCAAGTATGCAGGGCCGTGGGTTATTTATGTGGATCAGGTAGGCAGGGCAGTGGGTTATTTATGTGGATCAGGTAGGCAGGGCAGTGGGTTATATGGATCAGATGGGCAGGGCCGTAGGTTATTTATCTGGATCAGGTAGGCAGGGCAGTGGGTTTTTTATGTGGATCAGGTAGGCAGGGTGGTGGTTTATTTATGTGGATCAGGTAGGTAGGGCGGTGGGTTATTTATGTGGTTCAGGTAGGCAGGGCAGTTGGTTATTTATGTGGATCAGGTAAGTAGGGCAGTGGGTTATTAATGTGGATAAGGTAGGCAGGGTGGTAGGTTATTTATGTGAATCAAGTATGCAGGGCAGAGGATTATTTGTGTGGATAAGGTAGGCAGGGCGGTGGGTTATTTATGTAAATCAAGTATGGAGGGAAGAGGGTTATTTGTGTGGATAAGGTAGGCAGGGTGGTAGGTTATTTATGTAAATCAAGTATGGAGGGCAGAGGATTATTTGTGTGGATAAGGTAGGCAGGGTGGTGGGTTATTTATGTGGATAAGGTAGGCAGGGCGGTGGGTTATTTATGTGGATCAGGTAGGTAGGGCGGTGGGTTATTTATGTGGATCAGGTAGGTAGGGCAGTGGGTTATTTATGTGGATCAGGTAGGTAGGGCGGTGGGTTATTTATGTGGATCAGGTAGGTAGGGCAGTGGGTTATTTATGTGGATCATGTAGGCAGGGCAGAGGGTTATTTGGATCAGATGGGCAGGGCCGTGGGTTATGTATCTGGATCAGGTAGGCAGGGCAGTGGGTTATTTATGTGGATCAGATAGTCAGGGCGGTGGGTTATTTATGTGGATCAGGTAGGCAGGGCGGTGGGTTATTTATGTGGATCAGGTAGGCAGGGCGGTGGGTTATTTATATGGATTAGGTAGGTTGGACGGTGGGTTATATGGATCAGGTGGGCAGGGCGGTGGGTTATTTATGTGTATCAGGTAGGCAGGGCGTTAGGTTATATGGATCAGGTAGGCAGGGCCGTGGGTTATTTATGTGGATCAGGTAGGCAGGGCCGTGGGTTATTTATGTGGATCAGGTAGGCAGGGCAGTGGGTTATTTATGTGGATCAGGTAAGCAGGGTGGTGGGTTATTTATGTGGATTAGGTAGGCAGGGCGGTGGGTTATTTATGTGGATAAGGTAGGCAGGGCGGTAGGTTATTTATGTGAATCAAGTATGGAGGGCAGAGGGTTATTTATGTGGATAAGCTAGGCAGGGCGGTGGGTTATTTATGTGGATAAGGTAGGCAGGGCGGTGGGTTATTTATGTGGATCAGGTAGGCAGGGCAGTTGGTTATTTATGTGGATCAAGTAGGTAGGGCGGTGGGTTATTTATGTGGATCAAGTAGGTAGGGCGGTGGGTTATTTATGTGGATCATGTAGGCAGGGTGGTGGGTTATTTATGTGGATCAGATAGGCAGGGTGGTGGGTTATTTATGTGGATCAGGGAGGCAGGGCTGTGGGTTATTTATATGGATCAGGTTGCAGGGCGGTGGGTTATTTATGTGGATCAGGTAGGAGATGTTTCATGCAGATATTCCTCTGTAATTTATTCTACTGCTTGTGTTGTGAAGTGTTGCAGAGAGGAGTTGGATGTAGTTTCTTGTCCTTTACTTGTTGTGTAGCTTGCGGTAATGTTATATTGTGGTTTCTGTAGTGTCTCTTTTACTCTCTGCGTCTATCTTCTTTTTTCTTGGTCAACCTTTTGCCTGCTGTTCTCATGTTGAATGTTGAATTCGGAATCAACATCATAGCACTTGGGACACTCCCATAAGTGCTCAGTCCCCATCTTCAGCAGCAAGCGAAGAGTTCACATTCTGATGGTACCAGTAACTGCCTCTGTATCCGTCTCATCCTTTCCCTGAGTGTTGAGCGTCAGCCAGATCCTCTGGTAACTCCTCCCAGCGCCATTTTCCTTAGACCGTAATGATCAATCTGCGCCTCAGCACAATATCTAACTTGTCATACATCAGTTTACCACCAAGTGGTGCAGAGCCAGCCAGTCTGTCTGCCTGCTCATTTCCCAACACACCGGCATAACCTGGAGAACTGTTCTCATGTAGAACGATCTAGCTGCCAGCTGATTTTAATCCCGTTCTCATAAGGTGACCAAACCATTTGATTCTTTGATGTTCTTTGAAATCATTTGCCAGTACTGAGCCTACTATTGTTCTTAATTCCTCATTGATGACTCTGTCTCAGTTTGCTTTCCCCCACTGCGTCTGTTATACATCCCATCTCACATGTTGTAAGTCTTTCTGTTTGCCTTTATGTTTTGTCTGTGACTGTCCATGTCTGACACTGATAGCACAAAGTTGGTACAGGCAGCACATTTATCAGCTGCTCTTTCTTTCTGTGTGTGTGTGTGTGTGTTGAAATTGTGATGCCTAAAACAGGCCCTATTTGGTAATTTGTAGGCCTTCTGTTTTCGTTTAGATCAGATGTAATAGTGCTGTATGAGTAATGTTTTTTTGTGTGGGTGGTTGAGGTGAGGTTTTAGTGCGGGTGAGGTGAGGTTTTAGTGCGGGTGAGGTGAGGTTTTAGTGCGGGTGAGGTGAGGTTTTAGTGTGGGTGTGGTGAGGTTTTAGTGCGGGTGTGGTGAGGTTTTGATGTAGGTGTTGTGGTTTGAGCTTAGCATTCATAATGATAAATCTGACAATGTGATGTTTTAGTATAGTTGATAAGGTATTATAATGCAGATATGATTTGTTTGTGTGGATATGATAGTGATTGTTCTGTTGTGAATGTGTTAAAGGCATTGCACTATCTTTTTTATGTGTGCACAACACAAATGGATAGTGATATAATTACAGACAGCACAAACGGACAGTGATATAAAATTACAGACAACACAAGCAGATAGGGATATAATTACAAACAACACAAGCAGATAGGGATAAAGTTACAGACAACACAAGCAGATTGGGATATAATTACAGACAACACAAGCAGACAGGGATATAATTACAGACAACACAAGCAGATAGGGGTATAGTTACAGACAACACAAGCAGATTGGGATATAATTACAGACAACACAAGCAGATTGGGGTATAATTACAGACAAAGATACACAAAATCACTTATCTGCATGGTCAAATCTTTCACGAAATATCCATAACAGGTCTGAACAGCCTAAGCTGTTACACACTGTGTGTTTTACTTGTGTTTTTGTGGGATATTTATGAGCGTGCGAGTGTGTATGTGCGTGAGTGCATGTGTGTGTGGTGATGAGTGGTGGGTTGGTTGGTTGGGCAGTGTATTTTTGTATGTGAGTCAGTGTAAGATTTTTCAGTTTTTGGTCATAGCTGTATGAGTTAGTGTAAGACTACTCATATTTTTATAAGAACCGTATGAGCTAGTGTAAGACTACTCATATTTTTATAAGAACCGTATGAGCTAGTGTAAGACTACTCATATTTTTATAAGAACCATATGAGCTAGTGTAAGACTACTCATATTTTTATAAGAACCGTATGAGCTAGTGTAAGACTACTCATATTTTTATAAGAACCGTATGAGCTAGTGTAAGACTACTCATATTTTTATAAGAACCGTATGAGCTAGTGTAAGACTACTCATATTTTTATAAGAACCGTATGAGCTAGTGTAAGACTACTCATATTTTTATAAGAACCGTATGAGCTAGTGTGAGACTACTCATATTTTTATAAGAACCATATGAGCTAGTGTAAGACTACTCATATTTTTATAAGAACCGTATGAGCTAGTGTAAGACTACTCATATTTTTATAAGAACCGTATGAGCTAGTGTAAGACTACTCATATTTTTATAAGAACCGTATGAGCTAGTGTAAGACTACTCATATTTTTATAAGAACCGTATGAGTTAGTGTAAGACTACTCATATTTTTATAAGAACAGTATGAGCTAGTGTAAGACTACTCATATTTTTTATAAGAACTGAATGAGTTAGTGTAAGACTACTCATATTTTTATAAGAACCGTATGAGTTAGTGTAAGACTACTCATATTTTTATAAGAACCGTATGAGCTAGTGTAAGACTACTCATATTTTTATAAGAACCGTATGAGCTAGTGTAAGACTACTCATATTTTTATAAGAACCGTATGAGCTAGTGTGAGACTACTCATATTTTTATAAGAACCATATGAGCTAGTGTAAGACTACTCATATTTTTATAAGAACCGTATGAGCTAGTGTAAGACTACTCATATTTTTATAAGAACCGTATGAGTTAGTGTAAGACTACTCATATTTTTATAAGAACCGTATGAGCTAGTGTAAGACTACTCATATTTTTATAAGAACCGTATGAGTTAGTGTAAGACTACTCATATTTTTATAAGAACAGTATGAGCTAGTGTAAGACTACTCATATTTTTATAAGAACTGAATGAGTTAGTGTAAGACTACTGATATTTTTATAAGAACCGTATGAGTTAGTGTAAGACTACTCATATTTTTATAAGATCCGTATGAGTTAGTGTAAGACTACTCATATTTTTATAAGAGCGTATGAGTTAGTGTAAGACTACTCATATTTTTATAAGAACTGTATGAGCTAGTGTAAGACTACTCATATTTTTATAAGAACCGTATGAGCTAGTGTAAGACTACTCATATTTTTATAAGAACCGTATGAGTTAGTGTTAGACTACTCATATTTTTATAAGAACCATCTGAGTTAGTGTTAGACTACTCATATTTTTATAAGAATCTGTGTGAGTTAGTATAAGACTACTCATATTTGTATCAGAACCCGAATGAGTTAGTGTCTTGACTGCTGATCTGTTTTTGACATCTGCCATGACAGGTGAAGACACCACTACTTATATTGCTTGGACAAGATGATAAAAGAGTCCCCAATAATCAAGGACTAGAATATCTGCGTGCCCTGAAAGCACGACAAGTTCCAGTTAGGTGAGTCATACCATGTCAGTTATTCACAGTTCCAGCTTCACACAAACATGTCACCACATTGTTACTTCCCCCCCCCCCTCTTTTGCTAGCAAATACCATACAAAATGCTTACTACTGTCCCCTATGAAAAGCCGGACAGTACATCTAGAAAAACCAACAGCTTGCACATGCTGTAGGATAAGGCTATCTTACAGATATGACCCGCAGAGTCCTAGCAATGGGTCCGTGAATCTTTACCAGTTGTACAGTATAAATAATTTTTGTGTGCTGGGCCTTGAGCACAGAATGAAATCGACAGGTTATCCACAAGCACTTGCTAGGCCTCCTTAGGTCAGATTTGGCCTGAAGGCCATCAGTTGAAAAGCCCTGCGTTTAATGTTCCACAGGGAGCTGCGTGGTCTCAAGGAACCGAGGTGTCTGCCCCGAGTGCTGCAGTCCTCGGGTTCAGGCCCCGGTGAAGGCTGGGATTTTTTTTGCGTGGACTTTCAGTAATTTCCTGGTCTCTGGGTAGTCAGATCGGACGCCTGTGTGTATTTTTGTGTGTGAAAAAAAATCCCTTGTCAGTTGGAAATCAAAAGGAGTAGCCTAACATTGCTGCCAAGGTTAAATTTGGAGTTAAAAATCTACCCAAAGTATTTTGGGATCCTCACTGGTGCAACGGAGTTCGTGCACTGCACTGAGCTGCTTTAAACTCAGGCTTGAGTTAGCAAATTGAAGGAAGCACTTATGGGTTGCAACACGTGTGTGCTATGTTGCTGATCTGTTTAGTAAACCAGTAATGTGCCAAAACACAGTTTGAAAAGCTCTGGTCTAGACAGTTACCTACTGGCTGAGGTTTAATCCACATTGTGTTAGATTTTTGTATATATTTGATCTAGGTTCTCAAGACAACCCAGCCTAGAATAGATACCCAAGAAATAGCCTAGAAAATCAAGGTTTAGTTGAGTTGAGTCAAGAATTGACATCACAGCATTCAGAGCATTCCCATGCATGCGCATTCCTCAAATTTAGCAGCCAGCGCAGAGTTTCAAAGTTGATGGTACCGGTCACAATCTGGTTATATGTCCGTCTCGCCTTTCTTGTGAGTGGTGTGAGCCAGCCAAACCCTCTGGTTACACCTAGGTGCCTTATTCTTTCCAGGCCATAATAATCTTCTTTCTCTACTGATTCCGTTGCTTGTTCCCAAAGGGCCTTGACCAAATCTGCCTTGTCATGTATCAATTCACCACACAGTGTAACTACATCACCCATCAAATGGCACTTGGTTGAGAAAATATCTGTCTAGCAGTGTATACCCGAGGGAGCCTCACATTGTTGCTAGATGCTCACCTGCCCGCCAGAAGGTCTTAGGTTCAAATCCCATCAAGTCTGACTTTGTTTCTTCAGAATTTACCTTCAGGTCGACCTAGTCTAAAATTGGTGTCAGGCAGTTTCCTTGGAAGTAAAGTGGGCCGGTATGGTGTTGACCACATCTTTCATTAAGTACAGATTTTTTTTTTTTAATATGATTTTCGCATCATATGCTCAATGTGATGCTGGTAAAAAAGAGCGCTTTACATTCTCTAACATATACCTGATTCACTGCTGGCCTCAAAATGGCACTTTACTTTACTTGTGACATATTTGTACGTGTAATCCTAATTGACATATTTCCATAATGTTCTAGGCTTCAGTCTTACCCTGGCAACAACCACAGCATCGATGATGTGGAAGCTGACGCTGATGTGATGGTGAACACACTCCTCTGGTTCAGCTCCCACATCTGATTGTGTGGACACTGTGGGGCTGATACTGTTCATTGACTTGGCTCCACACCTCAACTTTTCTTGGTCCCTTATGTCACATGGAGCACAGAGGCTGATGCAGTCTTAGAAACAAATTTTGACCCAGTTTTGATCAGTTTTTTTGTGTGTGTATGCTTGTCTGGCATATTGTGTGTCTGTCGAATAGCCAGATTGTTAAGTATATCTGAGTCCTAAAAGTTCTGTCCCATGAATTAGTTTGCAGGCTGTCTTGAGTCCTGAAAGTTGTGTCCATTTAATCGGTGTCTAGGCTGTTCGAGTCCTGAAAGTTGTGTCCAGTAAATCGGTGTCTAGGATGTTCGAGTCCTGAAAGTTGTGTCCAGTGAATCGGTGTCTAGGCTGTTCGAGTCCTGAAAGTTGTGTCCAGTGAATCGGTGTCTAGGCTGTTCGAGTCCTGAAAGTTGTGTCCAGTGAATCGGTGTCTAGGCTGTTCGAGTCCTGAAAGTTGTGTCCCATGAATCAATGTCTAGGCTGTTTGACTCCCAAAAGTTTTGTCCAATGAATCAGTGTCTAGGCTCTTTAGAAAATGGAGTGATACAGACATTTACATGTAACTGTATCTACCCGCCTCTCCAGGCTGATACTTTTGAGCTCTGTAGAGGGGAAGAGGCAGACCAAGAGTACAGAATGTGGCTGACTGGGCAGACTTCAGACATACAAACATCATCCATTGCATCTGATTGACAAATGTAGATGGAGGTGGTAGGTCGGTGAGCAGCAACTGGTGACCTAACAGAATGCAGTGTTAAGAGACTGATGATGATAACGAGACACCAATCTTGTCTCCTGAGGGAGGGTACAGGAATAAAATAAGATTAATTCAGGAAAGCCATTGTTGTGTATAGGAGTGTATGTTGGATAAATAATATTCCAGAAACTTTTAAATCAGAAAATGGCCATAATTACTTAGTTGTGAAACATGTTATGCTTCTTTTATTTCATTTTACACATCTTGGGGACTCCAAGATTTCCTAGGCAGTTTCTGAGGAAAGTCCTATATTCTAAGGGTGTTATCACATGACTTTTTTTGGTGTTCAGTGTGCAAAAAGTGTGTGCACTAGGTTGATAAAATGTCTTCCACATGAAGGTGTGCAACTGCCTGTTGTGTGAACAACTGTGCAGTTTCTTTCTGTATGAATGTGTTGAATGTTTTCAACTTTACTGCATCATTATTTTCAGTGTGTGTTACTTTCATTCATTCATGTGAAACTGAAACTTCCATTCATTTGTGTGAAATAAACACCTAACACCCCTATATTATGAGACTTTCCTGGGAATTCCCCATGAAATCTCCAAGACCCCAAGATGGCATTAAACAAATGAAAAGAACCAACATTACTTATCACACATATAATTACGTGAAAAGAGATTTGAGGTAGCATATGTGTTATTTCTGTTAACAAGGTTTATGTGAAAAGAACCCACCCCCTTCAGAGTGTATGGCAAGTTGCCTGACCACGTCACCACAGAGTTGAGGATTTATCATCAATTCTGTTGTCAGACATGAATTATTTTTCTCCTACCCTTCACCCCAGTGGAGCACAGACCCTCGACCAACTCACATCAGCTTATTCAGAGTTGGTTGACTTTTGTGGCTCTATATGGGTTGAGATTGCCAGCACCAAGAGTTAGTGCTTCTCACAACATGCCAGTTAGGATGTAGTGTTACTGTTCTGTACTTAGAGACAAGCATTACCAGCTATATTCAGTTCAGGTTCAGATTCCTGGTCACTTTAGCAGGGCATTTTGTTATTTAGAACTTGTTCATCTCTATGTTGATATGTTATTTATGTTTATATTTGCATATACTACTATGCAGATACAGCACTTGTTGAACACATTAAAATGTTGGTTTTTGTGTGTGTGTGTGTATTTTTTTGTTGCATATTTGAAATGCTTTGATAGTCATACAGTCATTTTTGTTTGTTTTAGTTTGATATATAATGAAAATTTGGTGTTTGAAAAATTTGGTGTTATGGAATAGTATATATATCCATATTTATATATATATATATATATATATATATATATATATATATATATATATATATATATATATATATATATATATATATATATATATATATATATATATATATATATATACATACATACATACATACATACATACATACATACATACATACATACATACATACATATATATATATATATACATACATATATACATACATACATACATACATACATACATACATACATACATACATACATACATATACATATATACATACATACATACATACATACATACATACATACATACATACATACATACATACATACATACATACATACATACATACATACATACATACATACATACATACATACATATATGGCACTGCATTCAGAGAAAAGAAACACCTACATTAATCTTTTAAAACAGTCTACAAGGACAATGGGTGTTAGAATCAGCAATGTGTTTTATAATTTCTGCTTGCAGAAACAAAAAACAGTAGTCACCATCATAAACACTTGTGTGCTGAGATTGGAGGTTGTGGAGTGGAAAAGGAGCACCACTGGTTGTTTGGTTCAGAGAGTTCACATTTTGAAAATAGGAAAATTTGCTGGATTTGTCCTGCTATGGCTGTCATGCAATGGCTACCAGCCCAGTCATGGCAAAGTGGACTGATGTCATTATTCTTGGAGATAAGCATATTACAAGTCATCCGTTAGCCTTACAGCTTTCAGTTAGCAATGGAAGTGCCTTTGAGATATCAGAACTCTCAGGATTTTAAAGGTTTGCGCAAAACAATTCCTTGAAGTCTCATGAATAATGACAGATTTCAAAGGCAAGAAATTTGATGGGAATTGCTGCAGCATTTTGATGCTGAGATAACTATTTGTCCAACATTGTTACAGGTGATAAAGACTAGGCTTTTCATTATGAGTGTGAGATTTAGATGCAGAGTAGAGGCATCATGGGCTGTCGCCTCAAACATAGAAATTCAAGACAACTCCATCAACAGGACAGGTCATGATCACCGTCTTTTGGGACACTGATAGTGTGTTTCTTATGGATGTGATGTGCCAAAATGTTGAATTGAGAATCGACATCACAGCACTAGGACACTACCATAAGTGCTCCATCCCTATCTTCAGCAGCAAGCAAAGAGTTCCAATTCCGATAGCACCAGTAGCCGTCTGATTGTGTATCTGTCTCATCCTTCCCCTGAGTGTTGAGCGTTGGCAACACCATCTGGTAACTCGCAGCACCTTTCTTTGTAATGTAAACAGATAAGGAAACATGACATTCGTGACTCAAAAACTCAAAAGAAACTCTTTTATTTTTATGGAAGTACCTGACAATCATTTTCTGATCAATCTTTATTTTCCCCACTGTTTAACATACGACAACATGATGATAGTTTGACATCAGGGTTCTACAGTATCAACCAATCAGCAGTCAGACTGGCCGTTAGTCCGTACAGAGATGATTCCATTGCAGCATTTATTGAAGACTGTGTCGTAGGCTTCGCCCTTGCAGCAAGCCGGACTGACCCCGTGACGACGCAGGACTTTTCCTTGGCAACAGATCTGGTTCCGTGGGTTGTACTTGAATTTTCCACATCGAGCTGTAATGGGGTTTTAATAGAACTGTTAACCTTTGTAGATCTCTCTCTCTCTCTCTCTCTCTCTCTCTCTCTCTCTCTCTCTATCTCTCTCTATCTCTCTCTATCTCTCTCACTTTCTCGATCTCTCTCTCCCTGAGATAGGACTTTGCTTGCCTGATATGCCCCCCTCTCTCTCTCTAAAACTTCTCTTTGGTCTCTATCTCTCAGAACTATCAAGACCTCTCTCTTTCGATCGATCTCTCTCTCTGTCCTGTCCATTTTATATACCCTCCCCCCCCTCTCTCTCTCTCTCTCTTACAGACACACACACACAAACATGTTCGCTTGCACGCGAGTATATAAAATGATAAAAACAAATATTTAGAAAGTGTCAAATACTTAATTAAAAACAGAGCTTCCCTACGTGTTGGGTGCGCTTAGCTCCCTTACAAATTTCTGAGGGGATTGGGGGGGGGGGGGGGGGTCAATAGACCTAAACCCCTAAGTTTCAGTGTCGATGCTATAACGTACCATACATGTCGTAAGAGATTGTTGTGGAGGTTTGCTATCTTATCTTGCGAAAACTGCAACTGCAAGTTCCAACGAATACGTTTACAAGAACATGGGGACTGAAAAGGCAAGTTGTACGATAGACATGACCAATAAGACACCTTTTTTGAGGAGTGCCTAGTTGACCATGTTCTTAGTGCACTTGTATTCAAGGCGAGGTGCAGACGCCATCTGAAGGTGACAGGTTCAATTCCTGGCACAATAACTATAGCTTTCGAATTTTATGTTGTCTAGTGTGTTCTTCTATCTATCGACTTCTTTCTATGAGTGCCGATCAATACACTTTCTGTTACTTGATTAATTTGAAAAGGGAAGACAACGACGTTATTGTCAACAGCCGACGAGGGAGGACTGTATCGGCTACTGACGCTTCACACTGTATATAGCCCTTACCATTAGCTTTGCCAGAGCCTGAAACCTCCTCGTTGATCCTGGGTTTGTCCGTGTACCTGGTCCACGGCGTGGCGCCCGGCTCTGCATCGTGGATGTCTCTGTGGATGTAACCAGTCGGTATTGACATAGTTTACAGAAATTATTGTACTACTTTTTCTTCATATTCGTATTATTATTTTTCTTAATCGTCGCCCTGAATTTTTTAGTACCAAACAACGTACTATAACTTGTTTTTGTCATTCTCAAGATGCCATTGCATGGAATAAACGCGCACAAGACCAAAGTAATGACTAATAATTCAGCTGGCATAAATACACTAATGTACGTTAAAGGTCACAAATTAGAACAAAACACTCATTTCAAATGTTTAGAACCCATTTTATGTGACATAAGATCCAGAAGAGAAATCTTGTCTAGGGTTGCCCTAACAACATCGGTCCTTGCCAGACAACAAATATTATAGGGATCCAAAAATGTTTCATGTTAAACTAAACTACGACAACCCAGAGTACTAGTTATCAATACGTTTACATATGGCTGTGAAGCACAGACCTTAACAACTGAATTCGAAAAAAAGATACAAACATTTGAAATGAGATCTTTCAGAAACATAATTCGCATATCATTCAGAGACCATATTAAAAAGCGACGAGCTTCGCCGTATGATTATCCTGCGCACTGGCAACTTTTAACTCTTTTAACTACAGTGAAAGGACAGAAAATGCAGTGGTATGGACATGTATTACGATCTAACAGTCTCTCAATAACAATACTGCAGGGCTCAGTAGAGGGGAAGATGCAGACTAAGACAGACCTGAATACAGAACTTGACGGACTGGATGCCTTAGACATGGCAGCGTGAAGCCCACTGTTTCTGATCGTCAAAAGTGGAAGAAGTTGTTCAGACAGTCAACAGCGACTGGTGACCCAACGACACGCAGTGCTACAAGGAAGTTACTAGGATGTTCTTGCAGTCTCCTATCACGGGCTGGTTTTACCTCTCCTAATAGAATTAATAGTTGAACTACGGCTGCCCCATAGTGGCTGTGCTTAACTCCTTCAGACCCAAGTATGTGTTGCTTTTAAGATAAACTTACTGAGACTAAATGAGTTACAGTAATAACTGACTGATATTGGAAACATACAAAGGGCTGTTGGCGTGTTGTGCTTTACAGCTAAGCTGTGCTGTATGCCCCTCTTTTCCCCCTGTGAATTGAACCTATTCAGCCTATGTTTGTAGGTTCAAATTAGGGTTTGTTTTCTTCAAAATTTGCTATCAGTGTGTGCCTAGGCCTTTAGGTGTCTGCTTCTCTTTCGTCTCCTGCGTGGGATGTGCTTCTGCCACTTCCTTTGTCATAAATTGTCTTTGGACATTTCTTTCCAAACAATTGCTCCCAAATACATTAAATGCAGGGCGTTTAAAAAAAATGATAATTAGGAAGGAAAAAAAAAACAGAAGTGCCGGTACTCACGACAAAGTGTCTGTGATAGAAGTGCTGGGTAAAAATAAAGCCTAAACAAAGTCTCCGTTGCAGTGTACCATTGCATCATCATCATCCGGTAGCACTGCGTGTCTGTGGGTCACCAGTTACTGTTGACTATACGATCAGACCCCTCCACATTTGACGGTCAGATGCGATCGACTTCATAATTGCATGACTAAGGCCTGTCCCGTCAGTCAAGTTTTGCATCCATGTCTTTCTTGGTCTGCCTCTTCTCCTCTACTGATCCCTGTAGTATTCTTTTTGAGAGGCTATTAGATCGTATTACCTGTCCGTACCAATGCATTTTCTGTCTTTTCACTGTAGCTAAAAGAGGTTCATAGTTGCCAGTGTGCTGGAGAATTACATGGCGTACCTTGTTATTTATGCGGAATTCCAGTGAAATTTGACTAAAAAGCTGAACGAAATGGCAAAAAAAAAAAAAAACGTGTATAAAACAACCGAAATAACGTTTCGGCCGGCAACCTTTGTCACACATGAAGTGAACTACACAAAGATGCCACAGAGGAAAGTATTAAGATCTCTAAGGGATGACCTGAGCAATGTTTTAAAAAAAAAATGTGATGTGGAGTGAATGAAATAAAATAAAATAAACGATGGCTAAAAATACAGTCGCCAAAAAAAAAAAAAAAAAGTAAACCGTTTAGAAGTTCCCTTTTAGTTCCATACAACGTTGACTCGCTGGGCCAGTATTCCTTTTCTAATGGGCTGTGCAGGGTTATTCTGCAGGTCACTTGGGTACAATGATAAACTACTTAGACAAAGACTCTGCATATGCTTGTTAAGTTTGCCAAGTGTAAATTTGACCTTGCTCAAACGTCTAGTCCAGTGAGAACTACACAGGTAGATTCATTAATTGTCACAGCCTCCGCCAGTTTCAGTAAACGCCAAGTCAGTGTATGGCAATGACCGGAAGCAGAGTATCAGAATTATTCCTTAAATGGCTCTACACAGACTTAGTTCACTGAAGATACGGCAAGTGTGTCAAGATCAGCCAAGAAGAAAATCTAATTCTTTGATGGGACATAATTTGCTTGACCTGCTTTCCTAAAAAAAAAAATCGTCACGGTCAACTAGCATCCCCCGAAGGAGGGGGGGGGGGCTTCTGGTTATAATTGTGACTTGGCTAGTCATGCCATATAAAATAGCTTAGCATTGCTCGCTACCAAGTAGCCCTGAAAAGGACTCTTGCAGTGTTAATGCGATCAACAGATACAGACCGAAATACTGTCCCGACCGGCGGCGAAGTTGTCTACTGGCCAGCCAATGAACGACCCAGAGAATTGCCTGATTCCGGGCACTTAGTTGGTAAGAAGTGTCAGTTCCAAGTTTTTTACCACATAATAAATACAGTCGTTTTCTCATAAACAAAGTCTGTTAGGGATATTACCTTTGACCTTTCTCTTGATAAACGCTAGTGTTTGGCTTGACCTTGAAGCGTTTTTTGGACTTGTTGCTGTCCTTGTTGACGTCACCGACATCGATACTGGCTAACGGTGGGATGCTGCCGACATTGTCTCTTTGTCTCTCTGAAAAGATGTTCACAACATACATAGTTAGTTGACACTTGTGCTGCCGACATTATCTCTTTGTCTCTCTGAGAAGATGTTCATAACAGTTGACACTTGTGCCTCGTCGAAGACGATGCTGTTATGCAATTAGTTAGATATATCATTTTCACTTCAAACTGGACACTTTTCAAACCATCTAGGACGTTTTTCAAATCAAAGTGAACATTTTTCAATTCATCCAGGACGTTCTTGAAAACTTTCCTAGGTGGCTTGAAAATCCTTTGTGATTTGAAAAAAGTCCAGTTTGATTTGAAAAATGTCCTGTATGATTTGAAAATTGTCCAGTTTGATTAAGAAAGTGTCCAGTCTAAAGTGAAAACGGTGTAGATAGTGTTGTGCTGCAGATTCACATGCGATGATGAATACGGATTGTGTGATCCGCCGTCATTCAGAACATCATAAATAGGATTTAACAGTCACAGCAAAAACTACTACTCTGTTTCCGGTCATTGCAATACATGTTTCATTTAGAGTTTAAAGGTTGGAAGGCTGCCGTTGATTTAGATAAATGACACTGAGGATGTTGATGACTACAGAGATACCCCTGTCCAAACTAGAGGGAAACATTCGGTAACACGTCGGAGGTCACGAGGACAAAATAATGAGAATGAACCGGACGGAGGATGACCCAAAAGGAAAAACATCCAGAAGATGAGGATAAGAGGAATACACTGGGACACAGACAGGAAGGTGCGGTCTAGCTACTAGGATAGGAACATAAAGCCAGAGAGCTGGCGCAAATAAACCAGTCCACAAATATAACCGGAGACTGTTGGCTGTAAAAGCAGGTTAAACATGGTTAAGTTTTTGATTGTGTTTTTCTAGAATGGATTGACGATCACCGGCGCTGGAACCTGGTTGGTCAGACAGCTTGAGCACCCATAGTGTGTGTGGCTGAGCTCCGTCCTGGCACTAACTCGTAGGGGGATCAGCCCGCACAGTCTAGACCAGTGTGTCCCAAACTTTTCTCAGTCGCAGCGCCTTTTATCAATAAAAAATTTTCTACAGCGACTTAACCTAAGTAACAGTATGACTATTCGTATGTAAGAGATAAACAACAATTTAAAAACAAACTCGTGTATCTTCGAATATTTCGCGGCGCACAATTTGAGAATCACCAGGCTAGACAATTGTCCTAGTGATTAAATATCCCTCCCTTTTTTTATCAAAATGTATACATTTTATTTAGTTTAATATATATGTATACTCCATCATCATGAAGCAGGTTCTTTGCAGAACGTCGCTCTCATCACGGTCTGCCTGAAAGAAACTCGGTCTCTCGCCAGTTCTTCCGCCTCATGCACTTTCATACTCAAGGAGTCACTTATATCCTGTGCCCATCTTCTTGTCGGTTGGCCCCTGCCTTTCCTTCCTGGTACCATGCCTTCTGCTATAATTTTTTCTAATCCGTCGTGATGCTTGATACTATATAATAATATATACAACAATAATATATACTACAGTATTTTATTTGTTTGCCATCCAGCACTTTATAATAATAAAATAACCGTAATACCACTACAGTGCGGATGTGATCAGAACTCGTCGCCGACCCAATATATTTATCTTATCTAGGTAACAATTTCAGCTTAAAAATGTCTGGGGATAAACAAATTCTTCTACAGAACAGAAATCTGCCGCATCCGAGATTATCTTAAGTAGTCAGCACCGTAAAAATTACTGAGCACTTGAACAAGACTTGAGCACGGCTGCTCGAAAATTATACGGGGTTTCAAAGGGGAGAGAGCCTCATGGAGGCTTAATCCCAGTTTAAGAGCATAATAAGAATAACACTACACAATCGTTCATAAATATAATCAACTGTTCGAATGAATAGGACATGTGTGAACGGATACAGTAAAACCTCGTTTGCACGAAGTCGCTGTAAGACGAACACTCGGCTGACATAAACAGTTTGGTGGCAGTAGCCAATGTATTATTGTAATCATATTAGAAACTTTCATGGTTGAGAAATGGCTGGCCAAACGGTTAAGAACCAGGGCTGTTACGCTGGAGACCCGGTGTTCGAATCCTAGGTCAGGTCATGAATTTTTTACTGGTGGGGGCACACACAAAAAAAATATCTGCAAAAAATAATAACTACAAAAACAAATATTTGCAAAAAATAGGAATAAACTCACAGGGAGCAAGTACAGCAGGGATCTACCAGTCGTCAGTAGAAATTATCCTCGTCGACAAGTGTTTCGGCCCACGATTACTAGACACTTTCGGAGGTGGGCCCACCTGAGTTCATGAAGCTCAGGGCTGGTACCCTGCTGCACGAAATTACCGGATGGTGTTTTTCTTTCGGATAGGGACAAGACGACTTGGTGGTTTGCAGAAGGTACTGTGAGATAAGAAGTCGTCGCGGCAGCCTAATTAAAGCAGTCAGCATACCTGGACGACCGAGCGACAAGCTTACGATTGGTTTACCGGACACATGTTGAACTTTTATTAGCAGGTGGCAGAGGATCACTGGCAGACAATTCGGACACGATGGACTTTCAAGGGGTGAGAAACCCTTTTCCGCTAGACACCCGGACCAGCTCACCGAGGCCCGTCCCCTACGTTGTTGCGTTGCGTCCAAAGCCAGCTCGAGGCCCTTTCGGCTAAATAATATCTACCCTACACTGTTCGTGGCGACAGAAATAGCTATGCGGTCCTAAGCCCTTAGACTAAAAGACCCCCTCCCCCCCCCCCCCCACGCCACTCCTCTGCCTGCACCGCAACAGTGGTGAATACAGGCATTAAAGAAAGTTTTTATTTTTATTGTTTCTTAACGTGGTTTAAAGGCGACCGCTTATCGTATTTTCAGTTTTTGTTGTTGTCGTGGAATTGGGGGCAGGGGCGTGCGGGGGAGGGGGAGGGGGGCGCTCAGATCCACCTTAACAATTGTTAAGGGATGTGAAACTGTTGATCACATTGTAACCGGTTTCATCAGAGAACTGTGTGGGCTACTCAAGAGTGTATATGAATGCCCAAAGTGCAGTTACGTGTGGGTTTTGTTTTTTTACTGAATTCATCTCTTTGCTGCCACGATACATAATAGAAATGATGTATAGTAGAAATGAAACATTTTAAACTTTAGAACCAAGGAAACTATATAAACGAAGTCGTAGAAGTCTAGGTTTCAACTTCGCTTAATACACATGCCACGTTCCTGTGCTAGTGAAAGTCAAATGACATGTCCCTTGCTGTCTCATAACAAGAACTCTCTGTGCTTAACTCCTTTAGACCCAAGTATGTGTTGCTTTTAAGATAAACTTACTGAGACTGAATGAGTTACAGTAATAACTGACTGATACTGAAAACATACAAAGGGGTGTTGGTGTGTTGTACTTTACAGCTAAGCTGCGATGTATGCCCCTCTTTTCCCCCTATGAATTGACCCTGTTCAACCAGCACATTATAGAAATATGGGCACGCACGCAGTGAATGCAAATGGCAGTTGTTAGTCTCCACCATAAATACAGTGTGTTGTTGATGGAAGTAGTCGGTCACGATACACTCGCAATATTATTACACAAAGTATTTCGCCATCCGACACGTAAACCGGCTAGCCGCCCTACGAAATACCACTACACAGCCGCTGCATAAATAATAGGCATTCCACATGAGAAACACAGCCATAGTGCTGTATCAAGCATTTAACCCAACAGCTTAGGCAGCGAAACCGCAGACTCCCTTTCGTATGTGGAAATTGCACTAGCAAAGCGCTGCCAGGAACATAAATAACCCCGAAGCTAAACATTCTGCCACGCCTATCTATCCTCCATAATGGACCGGAGGAACATAATGACGAAAACAAGTAAGGATTAAAGAGCTAAGATATCTTAGAACCTTTAAAGATACGTCAACATTTTCAAAAGTCAGCATTCAGTGAGTTTATCTGAGGTAAGAACTGACATCACAACGCCTCGGACATTCCGAGTAGCTTTCCGCCTCCCAGCTTCAGGACTTAGTACAGTGTCCCAGTACCAGTGGTATCAGCTGTATTCTGATTTATGTCCGGGAGAAACTGTACCATTACACCATAATGTTCTAGAAATTTATAAACAACACGAAAGATTCGATTGAATTAAAAAAATGATAATAATAAGACAGAACACTAACCTTCCAAGGAGTCGAGCCATTGCGAAGATTTTCCGTTGGAGATATGCTGTTTCTGCTGCTGCGGTTTTCTATTTCCTCCCGCGCTTGGGCGCGCTGTTTGTTTTTGTTCCTGCCACTTGCTACTGGTTGGAGGGCTAAATGGACTTCCAGGATTTGAAACTGGCCTGTCCTCGTCAGTAGTCTTCAAATCTACAGCTTTCACAGCAGGTGGTGCTGTTGAAACCTCGGGTATTTTGGTGCTCACTTCTTTGACTACTACCCCATGAGGTGGAGTGAACGGGCTCTGTGGCACGGCATTATCTTGATTTTGTTCTGGTTTCTTGTATGGGTTTTGTGTATCCGCGTTTCTAGATTTCCCTTTTCGCGGCACCTGTGCAACTGTTACTGTAACAGCAACGGCAGCAAGCATTAAAAATATAACCTTTTTCATTAAGTTTGGAGACATTGTTGCGTGTGCTCTATGGCCGATATCTGCAATTAATAGATCCTTATCTGTTCTCCCAGAATATTCACTTAATGTCAATGTTCAGACTAGCTGTCTGAATTATCAAATGGCCGAAGATTATGTTGAATCTGCTATCTGTTGGTCAAACAGTTGACGACCAGTTCATGCTCCAGTCAACTGTTTGGCAGGGCGTATTTTTTTTTCCCCTTCTTTGAAAGACAAATGGGAAAACACTGCTGCATGCAAACAACTGGTCAAACAATTCAACGGTTTATTGTTGCCCGCCATTTCCGTGTCGATGTTTGTGGTACGATGACATGTCAAAGCAAAGACCTTTTGTCCGAAAGTTGTCTGGCTGTACACAGTCGGATGTATCGTCAGGGGCAGACAATCTGTTTCGAGGGAATTTAGTGCAAGGTAAACGTACAAATTAAATAATATTCCTTAGTCAAATAACAAATCTAATAAACGATTAGCACATTCCTAATGTGGGTTCCGGGTCCCATCTAAGGAGAAGTTGTGGGAGGGGTTGAATAGACTCACTGCCCGCTAAAAGCATGTTGTAAAAGTTGACTAATTAGGCCTCTTTCCTTCGAAGTCGCAGTGCACCATCCTGAGAAGCGAGAAAGTAACCGTCTACTTAAAGTCCTGAAAAAGGGCAAAGTCCTGAAGTGGACGAACAGCCAGAACTTTCAGCCGGAGAACCAAAAAAAAAAAAAAAAGACGAATTATCCCACTGAGTTGTTTACTCTCGAAACATGAATTTTAAAAACGGAAAAAAAAAAAAAAAAATTCGTAAACACCCGCCTACCATGTTTACTCCATCTTCTGTTGACATTAAAATATTATGGAGGCCCGGTGCAAGATTAAATCTACGACGGAGATTAAATGAACTTGCTTACCTACACACGAGTGCACGTTATAACAAGCTGGTGGCCCATACAACATACAGCCACACTGGGCTACATTATACATGTGCTGTATGTCTGTAAGCTTAAACGGGCTTTCCAGGCATTGCACCTGTTTGATTTTCATCCTTGTGATGGTAATCCTATATAGTGCAATCCTGGAGAGATGTCCCAGTTATAACTTCTTTGGATTTTCCATCTAGATTGAAATTTTCAAAGCAAAAAAGCAGAGTGGTTAACCTTATAAGGAAGGCAACAACAAAGAGGGGGTGTAAAAAATATGGGGGGGGGGGGGGGTGGTGTGCGGAGGCTAGTATTCTATGTTTGTTTTGTTACACTGTCCACTTGATCAGAGAGAGCCTTCACCACGTCAACTTTTTTTATAATGTAGCTCATCACCCAGAGTTTTTGTTATCAAAACCGGCAGATCAGTTAATTAACCGAGCACATTAATCTATAATTTTTACCAAAAAAAAAAAAAAAACAATAACACCTTTCTGACACCCTGTGATCATTTGCAGCTGAGGCTATAGACTCCTAGAGGTGCATAAGGTGGCCATCCTTGATATCTGCAGGCCGTCTCTCTTCCCTGTGTATAGGTTGTCATACTTGGTATTTGCAGGCCGTCTCTCTACCCTGTGTATAGGTTGTCATACTTGGTATTTGCAGGCCGTCTCTCTACCCTGTGTAAAGGTTGTCACTCTTGATATCTGCAGGCCGTCTCTCTACCCTGTGTATAGGTTGTCATACTTGGTATTTGCAGGCCGTCTCTCTACCCTGTGTAAAGGTTGTCACTCTTGATATCTGCAGGCCGTCTCTCTTCCCTGTGTATAGGTTGTCACACTTGGTATTTGCAGGCCGTCTCTCTTCCCTGTGTATAGGTTGTCACTCTTGATATCTGCAGGCCGTCTGTCTACCCTGTGTATAGGTTGTCACTCTTGGTAGTTGCAGGCCGTCTCTCTACCCTGTGTATAGGTTGTCACTCTTGGTATTTGCAGGCCGTCTCTCTACCCTGTGTATAGGTTGTCATACTTGGTATTTGCAGGCCGTCTCTCTACCCTGTGTATAGGTTGTCACTCTTGGTATTTGCAGGCCGTTTCTCTTCCCTGTGTATAGGTTGTCATACTTGGTATTTGCAGGCCGTCTCTCTACCCTGTGTATAGGTTGTCATACTTGGTATTTGCAGGCCGTCTCTCTACCCTGTGTAAAGGTTGTCACTCTTGATATCTGCAGGCCGTCTCTCTACCCTGTGTATAGGTTGTCATACTTGGTATTTGCAGGCCGTCTCTCTACCCTGTGTATAGGTTGTCATACTTGGTATTTGCAGGCCGTCTCTCTACCCTGTGTAAAGGTTGTCACTCTTGATATCTGCAGGCCGTCTCTCTACCCTGTGTATAGGTTGTCATACTTGGTATTTGCAGGCCGTCTCTCTACCCTGTGTATAGGTTGTCATACTTGGTATTTGCAGGCCGTCTCTCTACCCTGTGTAAAGGTTGTCACTCTTGATATCTGCAGGCCGTCTCTCTTCCCTGTGTATAGGTTGTCACACTTGGTATTTGCAGGCCGTCTCTCTTCCCTGTGTATAGGTTGTCACTCTTGATATCTGCAGGCCGTCTGTCTACCCTGTGTATAGGTTGTCACTCTTGGTAGTTGCAGGCCGTCTCTCTACCCTGTGTATAGGTTGTCACTCTTGGTATTTGCAGGCCGTTTCTCTTCCCTGTGTATAGGTTGTCACTCTTGGTATTTGCAGGCCGTCTCTCTTCCCTGTGTGTAGGTTGTCACTCTTGGTATTTGCAGGCCGTTTCTCTTCTCTGTGTATAGGTTGTCACTCTTGGTAGTTGCAGGCCGTCTCTCTTCCCTGTGTATAGGTTGTCACACTTGGTAGTTGCAGGCCGTCTCTCTTTCCTGTATATAGGTAGTAGTAGTAGTAGATTTTTACCCTACTAGGACATTACACAAGCGAAAAACACCCGATGACACAAAATGCCACCATGTAGATGAGGATCACCCGTGGAGAGGTCCCCGAAACCTGGTTCAGCCATTAGACCATAATCATGGCCTGGCTATATTGCTGCCCCTGACAAGAGCCAGAGTGGTGCTTCAAAATAACGAAAAATTGCATCTCACAAGGAGATTATTGGATTACATTGTCACACTTGGTATTTGCAGGCCGTCTCTCTTCCTGTTTATGGGTTGTCACTCTTTATATTTGCAGACTGGCCTTTTTTCCCAGTGTATGGGTTGTCACTCTTGAAATCTCCAGGCTGGCTGTCTACCCTGTGTATAGGTTGTCATATTGTATATTTACAGGTTGTCTCTCTTTCCTGTGTACAAGTTTTCCCCCTATACTGTGTTCACGTTGTCTTTCTTTGCCGCCTAAATTTCCCACATTTCTTGTTTACTGGTTGCCTCCCGTCTCAACACAAAAACAGAGCCTACTCGACAGTGACACGCAGAAAATTATAATCTCCTTCTTCACCTAGTCTCCGTCACCATGTATATATTAAGACAGGTTGCCCCCCCCCCCCTCCCCTTTTCACTAGGACAGGTTGTCCCCCTTCACTTAGACAGGCTGTTCCCTTTCACTGAGCCAGGCTGTCCCCATTCACTATGATAGGTGAGCCAGGCTGTCCTCCTTTACTGAGACAGGTTATCCCCCGTCACTAAGGCAGGATGACCCCTTAACCGAGGCAGGCTGTCCACTTTCACTAAGACAGGTTGTCCCCCTTTACTGAGGCAGGCTTTTCCCCTTAACTGAGGAAGGCTGTCCCCTTTCACTGAGATAGAGGCTCTACCCTTTAACTGAGACAGGTTGTCCCCCTTCACTGAGGCAGGATGTCCCACTTCACTGACTGACTGACTGACTTTCTACCCCACCAGGACATCACACAAGCGATAAACACCCGATGGCACAAAGTGCCACCATGCGGATGAGGATCACCGTGGAGAGGTCCCAGAAACCGCGTTCAGACATTTGGCCATAATGATGACCTGCCTATATTGCGGCCCCTGGCAAAAGCCAGAGTGGGGCTTCAAATAACAAAAAATAACGTCCTAAGAAGGACGTCTGAGACGGGTGGTTCCCCTTAACTGGGGCAGGCTGTCACCCTGTCCCCTTTAAGTGAGGCAGGCTGTCCCCTTTCACTGAGGCAGCCTGTCGCCCTTTACCATGATAAGTGAGGCAGGCTGTTCCCCTTTACTGAGACAGGTTTCTTCCTCCTGTGTGAACAATCTTTCTCAACACAAATACGAGGCCTATTCGACAACCATCACCCTCTTCTCCTAGTCCATTTCACTCCATACTTCTCCGAGACAAGTTGTCTCCCTTTACTGAGACAGGTTGTCTCCCTTCACTGTGTACAAGTTATAACAACACAAACACAGGACCTGCCCGGCCGGCAGCGACAAACTGCAGGGACAAACAATAAATTTCACAAGCCAGGTGTGCCCAGACTGCCCGCTGTGACAAGCTCGCGTTTAGAGACGGAAATTAAGAAATGTGTTTCCGATTAGTTCAAGAAAACCATCTGAAATAAAAATTCAAAAAATAATTTAAAACCCTGCACTGTCTCTAAATAAAGGTTGGCTACAGTATACCACTGTTACCTTTAGGAATATTCTGTAGTAAAGCACCAGTCTTGTCCACGGTGCGACTCTACCATTTATCGAGAAAAGGGAGTGGGGCGAGGGGAAGAAAAACAGTTTTTTCAACCATTGACCGCAGGGAAGGAACCTTAGTGCTTGAGGATCTTAAAACTGTCAATCGCAGTCACTAACCTCTAAGCCACAGAGCCACACTCATCGAGGTAAAATAGAGGATCTAGAATAGCTTTTAAAAAACAAATCTTCACACATTACATTAAGAAATAAAGTGTACGAATGAAGAAAAAAAAAAGTAATACAATGGGTAGACGCTCACTTGTAGAACAAAAGATCTTGTGTTCGAAGAAGTAGATGAAATGGATTTTTATAAATGACTTGGGTTCCCAGGTGGAACAATCCTAAAACGGATGACATTTCTTCTTCTTCTTCTTCTTCACTTCCTCTTTTACCGCTGTGGGTGTCGAGGGAGATATAAGGTTCTGTTTCTAGCTCTTCTGGCCGCCTCGACCATAGGCACATCGTGTTGTTGTAGAGTTTCTCTGATGTTAAACTTCCATCTTGTTCTTGGTCTACCTCGTGCTCTACGTCCTTCTTCTCTTTCCATGTATGCTTTGTATGGTATGGTGTCACAAGGCATTCTCTCTAAGTGGGCAAACAATTTCACTTGCTGTCTTCGTTTGTAATCCATTTAATGTTTTTAAAAGCAATGTGTGTGTGTGTGTGTGCACGTGCGTGCGTGCGTGTGTGTGTGGGTGTGTGTGAAAACGATATCACACATAAAATCTCACTGCAATGAAGTGCTTTTTAACAGCTATAAATCAAAGTTCACCTTCAGCAGGCATTTTCTCCCGAAAAGCTGCCCACTTTTCGTTTCCCAAGCAGAAGTCAACCTTTCTAGTGACAGCCAAAATTCATAACGACTAGCAAGCGTGTGTAGGGCTGCTTATTTCAACTGACGTGGTTACACAACACATTATTCTCATCTTAGGGAAACTCATTTCTGATTATGTGAAGACATTTTCTACCCAATGTTTTCTGGGTGAAGAAAGTCTTTGCAAACACTGGTCGATTGTTAACGGAAAATACTCTAGGATTTAAATTCCTGTTATTTCTGTGTTTTCTACCTTGCGGATTACCTTACGTTTGTTGTAGACTTTAGTAGCGTATGCTCGTTATCTTTGTATCTTACCTCTTGTCGGAATTTTAAACTGAATGTTGTTTTTATTGATTCTTCTTCGTATCAGCGCAACGCATTATAACGAACATCACTTTGCTGTTTTCTCAATGAGTCCGTCGTTTCGGTTATGATCAGTGGCTAACGACCTCAACCGCATCGTTCTGTTTCTAGCCTATGATTTGTCATGTTTGTAGTGGCATAGTTGCAATAACTTCATAGCAGTCTTGTGGTGACCCATGTTGATCGCATAACTTTATGTGACCCATCTTGACCCATGTTGGCATAGTTTCATAACTTCATCGCTGATCCTCCTGTGTGTGACCCATGTTGGCATAGTTGCATAACTTTTCATTGTCGCTAGCATAGTTTCCTAACTTCATCGTTGGTTGCCCTTTGTGTCACTCATGTTGGCATAGTTGCATAACTTCATCGTTGATTGTCCTGTGAGTGACCCATGTTGGAAAAGTTACATAACTTCATCGCTGATTGTCATGTGTGTGACCCATGTTGGCATAGTTGCATAACTTCATCGTTGACTGTCATGTGTGTGACCCATGTTGGCATAGTTGTATAACTTCATCGTTGACTGTCATGTGTGTGACCCATGTTGGCATAGTTGCATAGCTTCATCGTTGATCATGTGTGTGACCTGCATGTGTATAACTTCATCGTTGACTGTCATGTGTGTGACCCATGTTGGCATAGTTGCATAACTTCATCGCTGATTATCATGTGTGTGACATATGTTGGCATAGTTTCATAACTTCATTGTTGATTGTCCTTTGTTTGACCCATGTTGGCATAGTTGCATAACTTCATCGTTGATCGTCTTTTGTGTGACCCATGTTGGCATAGTTGTATAGCTTCATTATTGATAGTCCTATGTGTGACCCATGTTGGAATGGTTGCATAACTTAATCGCTGATTGTCCTGTGAGTGACCCATGTTGGCATAGTTGCAAAACTTCATCGTTGATCGTCTTTGTGTGTGACTCATGTTGGCATAGTTTGTTGCTTCATTATTGATAGTCTATGGAATGGTTGCATAACTTAATCGCTGATTGTCCTGTGAGTGACCCATGTTGGCATAGTTGCAAAACTTCATCGTTGATTGTCCTGTGTGTGACTTATGTTGGAAAACGTTACTAGCGGAAGAAAAAGAATAAGCTTTCATGTGGACATGCAACTAATGGATGCAGACAAGCAAAATGGTTCCAGAAACGACATTTGTGATAGTTGTCCAAATAATTATATACCCATTAACGACATTTGTAGTGGCAAACCCCGCCACAACAACAATAAATGCACAGTCGCAGAGAATTCAAAGAGAAGCTGTGGGAATATCATTAGCACGACAAAATCAAAAGCCACAAATGTCCTCCATGAAGACGAATAATTTGTCAGTCCTTGCAAAACCATCACATGCCAAACCTGGGATGTATCCAACATTGACCAAAACACGTTATACAACTGCTGGCATCAAACATAGGCTTCAGGTGAACAAACACAAGTCTGACGTTTCTCAGAATACGAGAAATATGACCAACATGAACGTAACGCTAAACGATAGCTCTGATTTAACAGAGAATGAATTTGACCAATTAAACATAACAGAACATTGGATATTTTCTGAGCTTTTTGGTGCACTTCTTCAGACAGAGAAGCTGCCAGATAGTAACACGTTTAGTTATCAATGTCGAAAAGATCTGGCATTGTTTAGTCTGGCATGGAGCAGGAAGGAACCTTGGACTTTGAGCAGTAAGTCAACAAACATGATGCCCGATTTGTTTAGATTTCAGTTTTGTGAAAGAAAGTTGAAGCTGTCAGTCAGTTGTCTCTAATCGTTTTCAGGTCGCGCTCCCCCTTCAGTTTAGGGCAAGGCTCCCACGCTACTCCCACCCTCTGAGTATACTGCAAGTCTCCCACTCCTATTACGTATATGACAAGAGCGCCCCCCCTCCCTCCCTCCCCCCCTCATCCCTCCCCCATTTTCCATACCCCGTGCCTGAATACAACAGATTTAATTAAAAAGAGGAGGACAGTTGATTCCACTTTAATTAAATGCGCGTGTTATCAAATTAATTCATTAGATGTACAAACTCAGTGAACACATAAATATTCCAGTTGTTTTGTTTCGTAAATAGTTTAAAAAAAAATAATTTATTCATAATTAAACTAAAACAAGATGTAAGTAGTACGACTTATTACAAGTACAAACACACTCACTTTCAATATTGTTTCATCTATGGCTTCAGGCCATCTTCAGGCCTAAGGGGCCGCCTTTCCTTCCATCAAGCTAAAGACTACTATTCTTAACAAAACTACATACTTTTGTAGTAAATATGTTCGTAGGAGTAATAGGAGCAGCAAATTTAGTGGTAATAGTAATTGTGGTTTCGGTGATTGTAGAAGTGGTGGTTTCTATGCATGGTGTGAAATAATGTTGATTTTATTTTGATTTATCTCTTGCTCCGCTCTCTTCTCTCTCTCTCTCTCTCTCTCTCTCTCTCTCTCTCTCTCTCGCTCGCTCGCTCTCTCTCTCTCTCTTTCCTCATTGTGTGTGTGTGTGTGTGTGTGTGATGGGTGTGTGTTTGTTATATAATCTAAATCAAAATTACAGAAAAAATAATAGTGTGTCTTTGTTGCTCGTTGTGAACGCTCTTCGTGACGCTTGGGTGTCAGGTTTGATCCCTGCTGCGGGCCTTGCGCCTTGCCTTGGTTTTGACAGTTGTATCAAGAAACCGACTGCCCAGAAAGCAATGGCAAACTACTGGACGTAAATTTGCCTAAAAAATCACAACAGCCAAAACAAAAAAATGCTGGGATTGGTTCTGCAACGTTCTGTAAAGGATACGCAACTAACTTTAACTTCGGTTGCTTTCCCTGCCTCACACTCGCACCACCTTTTCCTACATTACTATCTTCTGTTGTTGTTTTAATTGCATTTAGTTGGTTTTTCTTGCAATATTTCATGAATGTTTATTTTTATATTTATTCAACGGATCAACATCATGGCACACGAGTGCAACCCATAAGGGCTCCGTTCTACTTCATGGCACACGAGTGCAACCCATAAGGGCTCCGTTCTACTTCATGGCACACGAGTGGAACCCATAAGGGCTCCGTTCTACTTCATGGCACACGAGTGCAACCCATAAGGGCTCCGTTCTACTTCATGGCACACGAGTGCAACCCATAAGGGCTCCGTTCTACTTCATGGCACACGAGTGCAACCCATAAGGGCTCCGTTCTACTTGATGGCACACGAGTGCAACCCATAAGGGCTCCGTTCTACTTCATGGCACACGAGTGCAACCCATAAGGGCTCCGTTCTACTTCATGGCACACGAGTGCAACCCATAAGGGCTCCGTTCTACTTCATGGCACACGAGTGCAACCCATAAGGGCTCCGTTCTACTTCATGGCACACGAGTGGAACCCATAAGGGCTCCGTTCTACTTCATGGCACACGAGTGCAACCCATAAGGGCTCCGTTCTACTTCATAGCACACGAGTGCAACCCATAAGGACTCCGTTCTACTTCATGGCACACGAGTGCAACCCATAAGGGCTCCGTTCTACTTCATGGCACACGAGTGCAACCCATAAGGGCTCCGTTCTACTTCATGGCACACGAGTGCAACCCATAAGGGCTCCGTTCTACTTTGCACACGAGTGCAACCCATTAGGGCTCCGTTCTACTTCTAACTCAAGCTTTAATCTAAACAATCTCAGAGCAATGCACGAACTCCGCGGCATCGGCACATTTGGGTACATTTTTAACTCCAAATTTTGCCCGGGCAAACATCAGAGAAACTCTACAACAGCACGATGTGCCTATGGTCGAGGCGGTCAGAAGAGCTGGAAACAGAACCTTATGTCTCCCTCGACACCCACAGCGGTAAAAGAGGAAGTGAAGAAGAAGAAGAAGAAGAAGAAGAAGAAGAAGAAGAAGAAGAAGAAGAAGAAGAAGAAGAAGAAGAAGAAGAAGAAGAAGAAGAAGAAGAAGAAGAAGAAGAAGAAGAAGAAGAAGAAGAAGAAGAAGAAGAAGAAGAAGAAGAAGAAGAAGAAGAAGAAGAAGAAGAAGAAGAAGAAGAAGAAGAAGAAGAAGAAGAAAAAAAGAAGAAGAAGAAGAAGAAGAAGAAGAAGAAGAAGAAGAAGAAGAAGAAGAAGAAGAAGAAGAAGAAGAAGAAGAAAAAGCGCCTTTTGGCTACTATTTTGGATTTCCAACTGCCAAGGTATTTTTTACGCGCGCAACAATACACACGGGCGTCCGATCTTACTTTCCAGAGACCAGGTTAAATTACTAGAAGTCCACACGAAAAAATCCCAGCCTTCACCGGGGCTTGAACCCGGGGTCTCCAACACTCGGGGCGGACCCCATACCTCGAGACCACTGGGTCCGCCAACATAACATTTCATTAAACACATCGAATTGTTCTTGTTTCCACAGTGTACGACTCCATGGGGAAGCCACTACCAGGCTTGCTCAGTGGCACCATGACATGGTCAGGACACTTAGACCAGTGTGTTAACACCCACGTGACTTATAGTAAACTCAGCCATGATAGGTCACCGGCGGAAATTCGAACACGTTTTTGTGCTGTCTACATAACACTTCCAAAATGGCTGTCAGAAAGAATGCGAAGTTTTGTAAGTACTATCAACATGGCTGAAAAAAAGTATGGTGCGTTTTTTAAGTACGATCGACATGGTTCACATAAATAATGCGACATTTTTTATGTACGATCAAATGGCCAACAGAAAGAATGCAAAGTATTATGTGTACCGTCAACATGACTGACAGAACGACTGCGAAGTTTCATAAGTACGATCAACATGGATGACAGAAATAATGTGAATTTTTGTGTGTATGGCCAACATGGCTGACAGAAAGAATGCGAGTGTTGTAAGTATAATCCTAGTAAGAGATTCTCCAGACAGAAACTACATCTCATTAGTACAGCTTATTATTTTCTTCTGGGATCTTAAAATGTCGTAGTCAAGCATAGACCGGTTACAGTTTTCCATCATTAGAAAATGTCCATTACAATGAATCTGACCACCACTTCCCTTTGTCCGGCAGTGATCTTGTACAGAAACAGGGCCTAGTTTGCCTAGGGAAAAGCCCAGTATAAATGGATGAACATTTTTTAGATTTAACTAGAAACCCACACAGTACCCCACAGTGGTAGTTTGACAGGGATCGGAGAGGACGCTCGCCGTGGCTCAGTTGTAGGAGTGTACACCGGAGAGCACCTGAGAACACACACACACACACACACGCACGCAAGCACACACGCACACACACACACACACACACACACACACACACACAATACACCAGATCCCTGACAGCACCAGATAACACAAATAATACAACAAGGAACACCAGATCCCTGATAGATAACACAAATAATACAACAAAGAACACCAGATCCCTGATAGATAACACAAATAATACAACAAAGAACATTAGATTCCTGAGAGCATCTGAGAACCACCAGATATCTGAGAGCACACGAGAACATCCTAAAAAACGCCAAAAAACCCCAGATCCCCGAGAGCACACGAGAAAACAAAAATCACCAAAAAACAATAGATCACTGAGAGCACCCGTAAAACACACACAAACACACACACACACACACACACACACACACACATGTTTATATACACCAACACAAAAGAACACCAGATCCCTGCGGACGCGCATTGACTAGTGGCACCTACAACACAACGTAGTTTAATAAATAATGGACACTTTTAACGCTGTTGGCTCATACAATACAGGATACTGGACCCATGTTGTAAAGACCACAATATATTGTTTTACTCTAATTCATCAAGGGTATACTGAGAAAATATCAATATCTTATTCTTAAAGTCCACGCCGTGTGGGGCTGGTAGTCATTTCTTTCCACATCCTTCTGTCTGACCCAGATAATCCTCCTTGCCATGATGTCAGGCTGTCCGGCATCTTTTCTCTAGGTTTCCCTCTGCCTATCACCACCGCCCCACCCCCCCCCCTTTTTTTCTAACTTACCTATTGTACAATGAACTCCAGTTTTCTCCTTCTCATCACAGGACCAAAGAATGTGGATTGTCTCATTCTGATGTGGGCAATCAGTTCTCTTCTTAAATCAACTTCTTTTAAAACATCCTAATTACTCTTTTTATCTGTCCAGGGTTTCTCATCATTCGTTTATAAAACCACATCTCTGCAGCTTCCAAATAAGTTTTCATCAACTTACTAACTGTCCATGATTTAGTTCCATATATCGAGATAGGATTTATATAGCTTTTAAGAATTCTTTTCTTCGTCTCAGATGACAAAGAAAGATTGCATAAATTACTCTTCACTTTGTAAAATGCTGCCTTCGCTTGAGCTATTCTACATTTAACTTCTTTAATATATCTTCCATCTGATGTTATCAGGGCACCCATGTACTTAAATATATCAACGTACTTGAGGTTTGTTCCACTAACTTTGATGTTGCATTTTGGAGGGTCAGTTTTCTTTGTAGTTACCATTATTTCTGTTTTTCTACTGTTTGAACTAAGACACTTGTTTTCCCTTTTCGTTACAGTGATATACATCACTTCTTGCAGCTGTGTTTTATTTTCACCGATCAAAACTATATCGTAATCAAATCCCAGGTTTTTAACAATATGCCAACCAACCGATATTCCTGGCATATCATGTATTGATCTAAGTATTATTTCAATGCGCAAAATTGAAAAAATGAGGTGATAGTACACATCCATGTCACACGTTTTGTTTTGAAAAACTCAAACTTGGTTCTCAATTCTCATGGCTGCTTCTTGTTGCCAGAATATTTAAAAAAGAATTAATCGCAGGTCTTCACCCTCAATGTTTAAGGTTTTCAAAATTTTAACAATTCATGTTTCACTTTATGAAATTCTTTAGTTTATTCAGCGCGGCGTCCGTGGCTAAGGCGTTGCGAGTCTGACTCGTAAGCCAGCATACCGCGATCGGATTTTTGTCGTGGTATGGGACGTCGCAGGTCGACCCAGCCTAAAATTGGTACCAGGATGGGCTGTCTTGGGAAAGTAAAGACAGCCGGCGTATAATGCTGACCACATTACCCACAGAGTGCTGATGGTCTGTAAAATATGGGACGCTCTGCCCATATGCCCGATGCGCCGAAAGGCGTGAAAAGGAATCTTAACTTTTTTTTTAGTTATTCAATAAAGCACAAATAGAGATGTCTCTTTTTATGTCAGTCATTCTTTCTGAAAGTGTTCTCAAGATCAACACGGCTTTGTTTGTGCCCTTACCTTTGAGAAAACCACACTGCTCTTCTTAAATTTCTGGTTTAATTTTGCACCTTATTCTTCTCATGATAATTCTCATTAATATTTTTGTTACACGACTCATTAAATTAAGTGTTCGATTTTCTTCACATTGCACTGTACCAGGCGTTTTTGTTAAAAGTATGAAGATATTTTAAAAGATCATCAAGGGCGTGTCCACTGTTATAAATATTATTAAACAAAATTGTCAAAATTTCTAAACCCAGTTTACTAGCAGCTTTTAATTCTTCAATCGTGATGTTATCTGACCCTGGAGATCTACATTTCTTCACTTGGTTTAACGCATCTTCTACTTCCACTTTCTGTAATGGTGGCACTTCCGAATATTTAGGACTCTCTAAGTCTGGTCTGCTGTTTTGATTGTGCAGGTTTTGTAAATACTCTGTCCATCTTTCAATTGCCTTATCGATATAACGGAACAAAATAATGAATACTTTTATGTGGAACATACATAACATAAATTCTATGAAAAACGCATAATCATTATACCATAACACTGCGAGTCGTGGGGTCACCAGTTGATGGTGATAGTCTGGCCCCATTTAACGGTCAGATGTGATGGACTCATTGTTCATTACCTAGAGCCTGTCTATTCAGTCACGTTTTGTGTGCAGTTCTTTATTGGTCTGCTGCTTCTCCTCTTACCCTCCAATGATCCCTGTTGTATTGTTTTTGATCTTATTACATTTCCGTACAACTGAATTTTCCACTATATTAAAAGAGGCTCGAAGTTGCTAATGTGCTGTGTAATTAATTATACGGCATACTCGGTCATCTGTAATGTGGTCTCTGTATGATATGCCAAGAATTTGTTTGAAAGAAGGCATTTCCAGTGTTCGTATCTTCTTTTCGAGTGCAGTGGTTAAGGTCCACGTTTCACAGCCATGCGTAAATGTACTTATAGCTAATCCTCTTAGTAGTCAAAGCTTAGTTTTAAATTCAATGTTTTTGAATCCCAGTAAAATTGTAGCTTGGCAAGGACTGAAGTTGTCTCATATATTTCTTATAACGCTGCCTATTTATCTTCACTATTTGAAATTATAACCAGAAAGTAATGTAAGCAAGTACAAAATAAAGCAGTCGAGTGGTGCATCGGACGTATGAAGCTAGACTTATAACTGTGTAGATTAACCCTTTGAGTCCCAGGGACTTTAGCATCAGAGGCCTATGTGGTAGTCAAGAGAGACGTAAAATCGGCACATATTACGTTCATTGGGTCTCTAGATTGGAATCTATGAACGTATGATACGTTCATTTGGACTCAAAGAGTTGATCAGTACTCAGACGGTGATGTGGTCAACATCATGTCGGTCGCTTTTACTTCCCGGGACATTAGCAGG